CACACAGAAGCCGCCAGGAGGGATCGACGCCCTTCGGCGTTCCGATGCGATCTACAAACGGAACCGGCGAGAAACGTCCGCGTCGAGCTACTGTGGTATTACTATCGGATTCGATTAATTCGTTAAGTACTCACGGTTCTGTCTAAGACGAAACGGAAGTCATCGCCAAGAACATTGACACTTGTGTCTACGTGAAGGACCTCGCGGACACGCGCATCGTCGACCAGAGAGCTCTCCCAGCCTCAAAAACTGCTGTTCCACGAGTTCTCGACGATCGATCGTCGAACCGTCTACCGTTTCACCAGCCACGAAGATCGTATGATATCACACCGTTTAATTTTCACAGATGGTCACGGCAATACGGACGATGTCATCGTTGTATCTCGCGGATAAACACACGGGAGCAGCGAGATCCTCTTTCGAGGTTCAACCAGCGCAGAGGGTGCAGGCGCGCCGGCCGACCGCCATCATAGAAATCAATACGACCCTTCGGGGGAGCCTTACTTCGTATGGGATTTGATCAAACACGGACGGTAAACTGTTGCCAGAAATGTGTATAAATGGGCTACTCTTTCAAAGACTTAGAATTAGTTAAACAAATGAACGATTTTTTTTTAAATGCTTTTCTGTCACTCCAGAAGCACAGCTTTATGGGTAGTCTAACTTCTTATTTGCAAATGTACATCGGGGAGAAAATGAAGTGGGAATGTCGATATAGATTGTCTGAACTTTGAACTTCGCGGTAGTTAAATGTAACGCCGAGTGGGAACGAAAAACATTGTTTTATTAGTAGTTAGTAGAAAGTGTTATGTCTAACTCAGGCCTAACCTCTTTACCTATGTATCGAATTTAGAGTTTTCGGAGATATAACATTTACGTAGATATAATGTGGTCTTGATTGCAACATATAGACTGTGGATGTTTATGCAATTATAAATTTTCATGAATCAGTTTACGAAAACTATGATCAAATAAACATCAAAGGCTTCCACAGCTTCCAAAGTAAAGAAGAATCGTGTTGAACTCGATCTTTTTTACCGTACTGAAATTTGAATAGATTATGCTACAAATACATAAAAACCACGAATGATGAATTAACAACAATATATTGTTAACAGCTGTGAACCCAAACAAATAAAAGGATCACAATTGAAAAGATAAAAACGCTATTGAGTCGAAAAGGACCCGTAAGCTGTCAGGTAGTTAAAATTACGTTGTCTACTAGAAAGTTCTTTTTTTTTTTTTTTTTCAAAATTCTATAAACTAATGTTCCGAATGAAGTCGAGAAACTTCACTCGCAAGGTGCATCGGAATTCCCTGTAATTTTTATCGTTGAGAAACTTATAAATCAAACGGACGTTCAAGTTCCCGCAGACAGGGGGGCAATTTTGAGAGAGCAACAACTGAAGTAAGCGTTTACGGCTCGCGTTGGATTTATGATCGCTCCATCGCCAGCAGAGCCGCGGCGTCCACGTCTGGACCCTGGTTATGGTCATCCTTTCCGCGAGTTCCTGGGCCGTTTCGGCTCTCGACATGATTTCTACTATAATTGGACGGTTAAGAGAGCCCCCAGAACGGTTTTTGTCGCACGGGAAACCTAAGAGGAACAAGAAATCTGTCTGTCGACGGTGAAATAGGGAACTACGGGATGGGACAAAAATCACGGCGCGAGTCCAGGAAGAGGAAAACTGATTCGATGTTACGGGATAAATTTTTTTTCCTCGGAATTCCTTGGAACTCACATTACTACTTGTTGTGTCACATGTTTCTTCCTGTCCTTTTGGTCTTTAGACTTTTTATATACATACCCTGATATCTTGCGTTCTATTTTCCATTCTTTTTTTTCTTGTAATTTCTGTTGGTCATTGATTCCATGTTTTTTTTATACTGTTTAGTAAATACCCAAACGATATATAAGTAAATCTAACGGACATTCTAATTTGTCAGTAATTTTAAATAAAAGAATGCGTGAAAAGTGTTTTCTGGCTAAAAGGTACCATTTTTCCGTAGGTATCAAGGTATGTATAAATAAATGAAATTGAATTAAAAGTCGTCACGGACATTGTAATTTGTCGGTAATTTTACGTGAAGGAATCCTTGAAAAGTATTTTCTAATTAAAAGGTACCATTTTTTAAACGTTTCACACGTTCGACAGGCATACACTTTGAGCCGCCAAGAGTTCGCGCGCCACTGGTTCGAATACAGATTTACATGTAACGGTAGCAGCGATGTTTTAGAATAGAAAAAATACCGGATTACGTTACGCTTTCTCGAGTCATACATTCTTGGGGGGGCTTGTGTGCATTGTATGCAGCCACGCCGAGGATCCACAACGAGATTTTCGCCATTTTTACGGCTGGACACGATTGAATTTCAAAGTTACATGTACTTCGTATCGGCTCCTTATTCGCATTTACAGAATCTATAAAAATTCGTTTACAGATTTACGTAATAACTAACAAAAGACTTCCACCTGATTATTCGAAGGTTAATTAAACCAGAAAATATATTAATGAATTATACGAATCTATAATTAAATTAACATCTTTTTTCCAGTAAAAGAGAAGTTCAATTTTCTGTTTTTTTTTTTTTGCTTTATATCAAAAATGTGTTGGAGTTGCTGTACTCGTAGGTAAAAGAAATCTCGAAGTGCAAAGGGATAAAATGTACACCTCGTCGATAAGTTCCGCGAGAAGCAAGCGTCGAAACATTCGCCACCGTAGCCGTCTGGTCGCAGCCTGGCGAGTTTCACTGATTTTCACGATCGCGTCGTTTCTTGCCGAGGTGTGCGATGTGCACCGAGAAAAGCCCCGAGTCGCGCCACTTTTTACGAGGCACTATAATTAACGGTATACATATACACATAGGTAGGCCAGCTGTGCGTAAGAAAACCGAGATCGGTGTCCTGAAAACCGATCCGTTCCACCACGGAACGTATATTGTCGTTGAGGTAACTTCGAATCGAGTTTTGCCTGTGCTCTTTTATTCATAAAAATATTTACAATTGCGATAATTTTACCATTTACATACAGCGACGTTACTGATCTTCTGACTCTGACTGTCTCATCCCCTACTTGGGAGCAGTATTTAAAGTGATTCCGATTGGAGGGGTGGACGCTAAGGTAGAGCGAATGGGTTAAAGAACTTGGGACAGTGCTATCTGAGAAATCGAGATGTATCGTGGAAAGCTATGGTCGACGTCACTCGGAATTTGGGTGAAAGTTTCCCAGCGAACGATCGAATTCTCGAGGCGATTCATTATCGCCGGACCAACACATGGGAAACCAGTTCGAGTATCGGAGGGTTGGTTGGCGTCTACTAATATAAACGGGTTCGATTCGACTCGTGGTATTCGTAACAATTATTCCAGTAAATCGAATGTGGTTATGATTTCATTATCTCGAGTGAATCTTTGATAGTGAAAGTAAACTAAGGGTTACAAATAGATCCCAAGATTGAATTCGTTTTTCCACCTTAGAGAATGTTTCAGGAATTATGTACATATTTTGTACGGGATCTGGATTTTCTTGAAAAGATTTCGTTTCAAGTTTCGTAAGTTATTCTATGGATATTGATTCGACCGAATCACGAAGTTACATCGCTGGTTATGTTCGTTTCCATTGATATCTTCGTGCTGTAATTACGTTCTTACGAACGCGTTACGCAAGTGAAAATACGCCTTCGAGTATGACTTCCGGTCGGCAGGGCCGAATTACGAAGCGAAGACCGATGTTATTGAAATGTACACATTTGCACAGCACCAGAAATCAGCACTGACTGTTACATTACGAAGAAAGTTCGTTAATGACACCGTTACTTGCTTTTCCCCGCGTCCAGTGGCATGTGAATATCGTAACCTTAAGCCGCGTTCCCACATATACAACTCGTGTCACTTAGAAGACAGAAATCACTTCTCCATAAAATATACTTCGTAGAATACACATCTATTTATATGTCAAACTACAATAGCACGAAAACATATTATAATTAGAAATTAAGTTCAATTCTTCCATTACAGTACAGTGAATCATCGATGAATGTTCGAAGGCTTCCCGACACTCAGTGTTCAGACGTCATCCCCACCACTGGACGCTGAACTGGTTCCACAGGGGACACCACCTGGTGGGTATTCTTCGAACACTCATCGATAATTTACTTTATCACATGGAATTAACCCTCACCTTCCATTTACAGAAAATAACAATAACCAATATTCAATTATTACCTGCTTAAGTTCTTACGAAATCCTGTTGAAACAAAAATAAAATCCGAACATAAAGTGATCAAGCAACTTCGTAAAGACGATCCAGGCACGTGGGAACGCGGCTTAACGTCTCCCTCAGCCGGACGGTTTCCCTTATCGATGAAGCAGTATTATAGCCTGTCGAACATTGTAGAAACCGCAGCACGATGTCGCTGAAAAACAAACTCGCCAGGAACGCCGTGGTAACAAAGTGGCCACGGAACCTCCGGGTGGATTGCAACCGGCAAGAAATTCTTGCGGAGGAACCGATTTCACCGTGTTACCGATAAACCAATAACATTTCCGGTTTCTACGCGTCACACTAAAAGTCTGGATACTACCAGCCAGCGGCGTTATTTCCATAAGGCAAAAAAAAAAAAAAAAAGAGGCGTGTGCACGTTCAAACCACTCGCCTTTTACGTCCGCCGCGGGAAGAGGTTAAATAGGACAGACCGAGGCGGCTACATACAGGTGACTTTCTATCCGTCAGCCGAGCTTTTTTCGTTGAACCGGTCGAGTACGGTTTATTCTTCCACCTACGCGATCGCGTAAATGTTACGGTGTTAGTAGCCGATTTTACTATTGCTCGCAGGATTAGACCGTTAGTCTCTGCGTTATTTTGTCGGCTTGGCCGTCACGGAGTGTGAAACTGTTGCCATTTAGGATGTTCCATTTACGATGTAATGTTTACACATTCCATTTAGGATGGACAAGATGTGTGATGATAATCATGGTAGAACCGAACGTGGAGACTACGAAAAATACACATTATACGTGCAAAAATCAGAAGCGTAGAATGGATAATATATCGATGTAGTCGAGCCACCGTTTGTACTAGCGTATATGTAGGAATTCATAGTAATTATGTTTTCATAGTAACTACAAAAGTAGAAACTTCAGAATTCTGTAACCTCAATTTTGTTTCACGAAACAGGTTAACTGCTGGTTCAAATTATTTTTGGTAAAAATTTATTAATCGGTACTTGCACGATGATTTGACTGAAAGCATCGAGTAAACGACACCACTCACCAATCATAATCACCATCACGAACGTCACAACACGTAAGTATCAATCACTATTTTCGAATTGATAAAAATTCCCAAGTATCCATTAAACTTGGCTTCGCCGCAAATCATCTTAACGAGATCGACGGGGAATCGGCTGTTAGAGGCGTGCTAACAATTTCCTAGCTTGTGCCAATTTGAGAAACATAGAATCTCACCTGACATTACGCACCATTATGATATTCATTGGATCGAAACGGACTTTTACAATCGTCGAATGTCTAACTGAAACATATGAACCTACAAATAGATCTTTCAATTTCGACAACAGCTGGACTCCTTGTGGGTTTTTATGGATTCCATCGAACGTTCACACGTTTGTTCGCGCGTCTGTCTGTGTGTGACCGTGACCGATTTGCAGCCATCTCGCCTAAGAGGACACAAATGGAACGTGGTACGGGAGAAGGACTCATCGAGGTCGCCGATCGGGGTCAACTTTTAGACTAGTGTGACGTCTAATCGCGGTGCATGTCAGTGATGCTGGTACCGTTGTCCTCTCATAAGGGTCAAATCATGGGGAAGGGGCACGAAGCAGAAAAGCGTATCTGCATATACAGAGTGTCACAAAGTGAAACGATCAAATTGTAATAGAAGAAAAAGAAAACAATACTGTGAAACATGGCCGTAGAAAGAAGGATTAATATTAACAGCCTTCGGCGACAATGAGTTAGTTTTAATATTTAAACCCCATACCTCGTTAGTTGTCGTGATTCGATCCTGGACCAACGACATTTAGCGAGGTAATACCGTAATTGGTCAAAATTGGACCAAATGTCACCCTTATATCTTCCTTTATTGAGGAATGTATTTAGAATTAAGCATTTCTGACTCGATACTTATTGCTATTCCAAGCCTGCGACAACTAACGAGGTAACCCTGCAATTAATCTATATTTTCAATAACAGTGATTAAATTTCAAAGTTAAAGCCCATATGCTTCAAATTTCCCTCTCATACCTTCGAACCGAAGACAAGGTTTGAATACTCGACTTTTCCAAGAAATAAAGGCTACGTTTAAGAAACTATTTGTCTATGAAAACAACAGTTGTCTTGTGTAAACACGATGCCTGCATGTCAAGCTCAGAATCTGAGACTCACGGTCGGGTACAACTGCTTAGAGACGCTTCTTCCAGCCGAGAAGGATAAGGCCCTCACTCTCTCTCTCTAATTTTTCTCTTCCTCCTTTCGATACTTAGTCACTGTTACATGACATTAACCGGAAGAACGGTGTCGTTATCGAGTCCAAGAATCTTTCGATGAATGAATCGACTCCGTTTCGATCCGTTTCTCCTCTCACGATCTAGGAAAACAGACATTCTTGTTTTTACATTATTTTACACTGATAGACTCAATCACTTACAAAGTATGCACGTAAAAAGGCATTTTCCTTTTCTACATTATTAACGATGTTCGCATATGTATTAAGTTGAGTAGAAACTTTCCTAATTCTCTTCTTCTTACATATAATTCCACGTTTACAGAAATTTAATCGTTTATTTGGTATTCTATTCTTCATTTCAGGATCCTATCGATCCCTTTATTAGAAAGGTTTTGTTACTTAAACTTGAAATGCGATTGTCCAAACCAATATGGAGACTTCTGGTCGGATAATTGATCCAGGAGAGTCAAAGTTTCATGTATATTATAACATTTTTTTACAAATTCTTCTCTTCTATGATTTTTCACGTTTCTCTTGGTCGAAATTCCAAAAAAGTTTCGCTCGTCACGGTGCACCTTCGACCGTCAGAATTATCCACGCAACAACCGGGCCCGAAGATATTCGACGATATTTGCAATTGAAATAGATTGCGTGTAACTGCCACGTAATAGATTAATTGGCACCGGCCGAACCCGGCAGTAAGGTTGCACCGAACGGATCGTGCAGTTGTCGAAATCTTGATGATGAAGAACGCGATCCCGGTGGCGCTTTGTTACTCGTTGCTAAACCTTTTCACCGGTGTGCGTTCCAACGCGAGGTAAACCTTTACGATTGCTCCAACCACTTGATACTTTAAATTAACGTTGATCATCTGTACGTGCTTACTAAAACAAATATAACGACTTTTTTTTATTGCTAGCGCCAGTCACCAATAGTGCCTTCCGATTCTGAAAGTTGGCATAGAGTCGTTTATTTACCAAAGTGATTAACTCCGCTAAAAGTATCAAGTTAATAGCAAAAGAGATAGAAGGGAACCTAATTTTAAAAACTAACTGTACTTTCTTGAATGTTTTTTAATTATAGCGGTAGAGCACTTGATTGGTGCGTAACTCTTCGTATTTAAAATGCATGCGTTGTTGTGCGAATCGTGTGCTTTAGCGTTGTAATTTGAAAAACATTCAGAAAATGGAGTTAGTCACTTTGGCCTGTGAATGGCTAAAAGTAAGTTCCCTTCTATTTTCCAGACAAATACAGATTCTCTGATATTTCTGAGAAATCATTTGAAAGATGAAGTAATTTCTTTAGGCAATTCTAAAATATAACAGAAGGTAGTCATTATAAGTACAGTTTCGAAAGAAACGTAATATTCGACATGATACTGGGGAGGGACAATACCGAATTGATTCGCGTAGAGTTTATCGCCTACTTATAATACATTTCGGATTATCGAATATTTACTCGAACAAAAGATCGCGGAAGATTTTATCTGGATCCTTTCTGTCTTCTTGCAGTTCGTTGCACGATGATGCGAAGAATTCCACGATAAAGACCGGGATTGTCCTGCCGGAACATTACGTGAAAGGTTTGTACAATCTGATCCAACGAAATTCTTAACCTTCATCCGGATAGAAGAGCCTTTGAGGCTCCTTTATTACTTCATAATGAATAATATAATAATATCTACAAACAATATGTATTATAATCAATAATAAAAAAATTAATGTCAATGTATTTACTAAGTAAATAAACTAAATTAAAAGAAGTCAAATATTTTAGAATTATTAATTTTAGCTGTTCTGTACTGAGAGTCTCTGAGGCTCTTCTCCATTCTATCCTGATGAAGGTTAAACCCTATTATGTAATACCTTCAAGGGAATAAACTGCATTTTCTATTGCACATACAAGACAGTAGTTATCAATTGTAACAGTGTAAGAGGTGGGATCGACGGTATCGGGATTAACTTGTGAGGATTAAGATTAAGACGTGAAGTTGATTGATAATGTGGCTGATCTATCTACTTGCACAGCAGGTTCGCTGATCAGGGGATCTCTAAACGCCCGATTTTCCTCGTTTGCGACTTCTATCGCTCCACGAGGTAATCATTATTTGCAGATCACGGATTTCATGCCTGTGTAGATATTCTTATCTTAATTCGAACTTAATACAACCTATGATCAATTAAACGAACAAACAACCACGGTCTGATTATTCGACGTGTTGATATCTGATCGGCCATTTTGTATGAATTTAATGCACCGCTCAAAACGGAGTGAACAGGCAAAATATAATTAACATTAATAGTGTTAATCTTGTACAGAAACGATATCTATTTAGCAAACGTATACATTCCAGTTCACAAGTATTAGGACACTTATTGAATATGCAGTAAATCTTATCAGGCATTATGAAATTGCTGAGAGTCTGAAACCAATGTTGTTTAGGGGATATGAAAGTTCGATGGATAACGCTTATTCTACTAGGAAGTAATAAACTTCACCTAAAAAATGTAATTCTTCCAAAATATCACATTTTCTTCAAACAGACCAGATGTGCTAATATGTATGAACAGTAGTGTAGCCTATAAAAACCTTGATTCGTTTTTTATTCCGCTCAGCAATCCCCAAATTCTTCTGATCAGGTTTTAACACTTATTCTTACGAAAATAAGCTTATGCCACTAGAAACAATGTCTATTGGGTATTCTCCGGTACATCTGGGCCGTTTCGGTTGGACCAAAACATTCTTTACCACATTTGCAACCCGGTTTTATTTCTAATCTAGCCATGGATAGACTATCCTCTTCTAAGCGATGTTAATTTATCTACTTGCCTCTCCAAAAAAAAAAAAACGTGAATGTTTTCGATCTAGAAACCGAGTCTTCAAAACGTCCACAAATCATTCGACTTTCTAAATTCGGACGAAACTCCTCGACAATGTTCGCAGCCCAGATCGACTTTTAACGTGGCTACATCTGTAAATCATGAAAAACCGCGGGGAGAAGCTAGTCGTAACGATAACAGAGTTCCGTAAGGTTTTCCTGCAAAACGCCGTGGCGTTCGCGATGAACGACGCAGTGGAGATTTACGATCCGGTCTAGTTTTAATCCAGGGCGTCGTTGCTGCGATCTCCATCGCGAAATTCTTAGAGTAACGTTTCACACACATACACACATACGCAACCAGGTTAACCCTTGGAAGGCGAATGATCTGGGCGGGACACGGCAGACGGATGCAGAGTCATTTTGACTCGTAGTAAAATTAGGCGCAGATTTCAAGAAGAAATGATTCATCAAATTTTGTGTATATCTATTTTCAAGTTCATATACTACATTTACATATAATTACAAAAAATAAAGGCAATAGCTTCAGATGGGTCAAAATGGCACTGTGTTCGCTGTACGAGGGTTAATATGCAAATAAATGTTTCGAGCAGAAATCAGACCACCGTCGAAGCAAGGTATGCCAGTGTTGGTGGACTTCAACATCTTCGTCGCGGACATCAATTCGATAAACGTCGAGGACATGGACTTCCGGTGAGTCTCGAACGAGATCTATCCGCGATTTGACCCTCGTCCATCCCTCCGTTTGCCAACTGAATTTTTCCCGCGGTGTCAAATTGACAGAATGATAAAAAATTAGTTTAATGAAATGATGAACAGTTAAATTTACACATTCTTTGTACCAATTATATTAGTCAATCTTTCTGACGGAAATTGTTCGTCGATATAGTGTGGACATGTTCGTCCGCGAGAGTTGGATAGAGTCTCGATTAGACATGCCAGACGATATTTTCGAGGAGGGTGACGACTATGTGACCCTACCTCCCGATTTCTTCGACAGTCTCTGGCAGCCGGATCTTTACTTTTTGAACGCCAAAGTCTCCGGTAAGTTTTACGGTAAATATTCGATTCCCATACTAATTCTCACAAAACAGAAGAAACATTGATCGTCCTTTATCATGGGTATAACCAGGTTATCATTCGGGGGGGGGATGCAAACATTTATCTTAAAATAAATTTTTATAATATTACTGTAAATGGATTTTAGATTTACATTTACATACAAAATATTAGTTAATATAATGTAATATTTTTTCCTCTGGGGGGATCTAGAGTATGGCAAAGGCCACTTTGTCTCCCTAGAGGGGCAAATGCTCCCCAGCTACGCCCATGTCCTTCATTTCCTTTTATCGTCAACACGCTCAGTTCTTGATCATCGTCTCCTGTTAGTTCAGAGGTACTTTCTTCTTCGACGCGTTGCAACTTCACCTGTCCACCGCGACAGATCCCCCAAACATTAACATTCTCCTTTCCCAGAGATTGCGGCGTTGAACCATAAATTCTCCTCGGTGACCCTCTACAGAAACAAAACGGTCAAGTATTCGGCGCGAATGCACGCGATCATCGCCTGCCAAATGGAATTTCAGCTCTACCCGATGGACATTCAGATATGCCCGATCTACATAGAAAGTTGTAAGTCGAACGACCAACGGATATGCACGTTCATCCACGATAGACGTTACGTATAGTTTACCACCATCGGCTTCCATTCATGCCTGCATCAAACAAGAACCAAGTATACCAGACTCTCCACGTTAATGCGGAATAACGCCTCGATCCCGATAGTTTCCTATCACGAGCAGAAGCTACGCTTGAGATGGGGACCAGGAAGTGTCACGGTGAACCCGGAGCTGAAGCTGTTGCAATACGACATTGGGAAACCGATTGTGTCCGAGGAAACCGTCGACTACATGCTCGAGAAAAGCGGTATAACCATCGTTCTGAATTCCGATAGCTCAGGAACCCTATGAAAAGCAGTTCTCTTCTGATACTACAGGGAATTACTCGCGATTGGTGGTCTACTTCCGGTTCGAAAGGCAAATCGGACACCATCTGATACAGACGTTCGCGCCGTCGATGTTGGTGGTGATGCTCTCGTGGTTCAGCTTCTGGTTGGGCCTGGACGCTATCCCTGGAAGGGTCGCTCTGTTGGTCACCAGCATGCTCACCCTGGTCACGATGTTCACCGGTTTGAAAAGCGACATTCCTCCAGTCGCTTACGTGAAAGTACGTTTTCACTGCGTGGCCTTTACATTGAGGGTTCACGGCTGTTTCCGGATATCGCTAATTAAATTCAGCGATTCTAGCGTTAATGTTGGCTCCTGGCGCTTGGTATTACTTCGTGTGCAAGACATTCTGGAATTGTTTGTCGAAAATTTACCGGATTATCATAGAAATACACTAGTAGAAATATTGGATATATGTTACTGTCGATGCCTTTAATGGTCTTAGTCATTTTGTTGCTTAGGCTCTGGACGTTTGGATGGCAGGCTGTATGATGTTCGTGTTCGCCGCCCTCGGTGAATTCGTGGTGGTCAAAGTGCTCGACTTACAGTACCAGCTGGAGTACGATCTACAGACATCAGTAATGTCCCGGCATTACCCAATAGTTTGTATAATAGTTGTTTAACTATTAGCAACGAATCGCGTCCCATGCACCGAGTACCGATATCAGAACGTGCCTGTTCATCGATTACCATCATAAACGCGTGTATCAGTTTGCTAGCTATTCGAATAAGTATGTGTCACCGACAGTCATCTGTGCATCCTTAGGTTCTGGTTCTAATTATATTTAGCATTATAATATAATATATATTGTATTTAGATAATATTTGATGTTACTATGTTGCTTTCAGCGAATGATTGCCATGGGTAAATGCCAAAGGATTTGGGACTATGACACACCTTACGTGTCGAAAACGAGAAACAAAAGAGCCGGTAGTAAACATCTTCTGCAGACCTCGTGGCTTGATCCCGAGTATCAAATGATACGAGTATGCAAATCGAGGTCCCAACAAATTGATACTTACAGTAGAATAGGTTTTCCCACACTGTTTATGTTATTTATGATTTTGTACTGGCCGATATTGTTGCTTAAGAAAGCCACGTAAGATCTTGCCTAATACTAACACATAATGATAGGTAGGCGCTGGAAATTACCACCACGAAAATCTATGACCTCAATTGAAATCCGTTCATTGCATGGTATACATTATTATTATCTGTTTTAAGCAGTATTTCGTAAATCGTATACTTTGACGAAACCTAATGTACAAAAATATTGCATAGTTGAATCAAATAATTAATAAATGTTAAAACGTTAATTCAAGATCGTAAGCGATGACATAATTGTGTGAGCAAGAAACCTCTTCACAGTAATGAAATTTATCTTCTTATAGAATAGTTGATAAATTTATTACAAATTTTCACTTAGTACAAAAGACTTATATATACTTTATACAAATATGTGAAACATCATCATTCGATGCTTAACAATGAAATCATACGTGTTTATAGTTTAGTCAATTTCCATTTCGTCGGCTAAAGATGATTGATCAGATTCCTCCTCTACCGTTTCTGCTTCTTCCTTATTAGAATCAGATGTTCGAGCTTTGTATTCTCCCACCTTCTTGAAGTAACTCATCGTGTACTGATTAAAATCGCATCTGCAATTATAAGAGTATTAATTTGTTGCTCCTTATTAGATAACTAACTACTACATAAAATCACATAGAAACGAACATTTTACTCAAGTCGTCGTATTTCTTTTGCATATTTTTCTGTAGCATTAGTAATATCGGCATTTGCAACGCAGAATTTATTTTCGGTCCATGCGTAGTCAATATAGATTCTATCCAAAGGAGATAAAAATGTATGTGCCTGGTTAATTCTAATTCCGATGCGATGAATTGCAATACCTTTTCCACATAGATGTCAGGTAAACTCGAGACAATTAAATCGACTGAAAGAAATTTCACCGTGAATACATACAAACTGAATAAATGATAACCATCTACAGATTATTATCAACTTACTGTTTGCACACGGAATATTTTCTATGACGCGTTTTATTAGCAGCTTTTCATTCAATTTCAAAGACATCAGCAATGCTAAACATATTTGTCATTAGTAGAAATTAATATTAATTAATCATTTGCTCAGAGTGAAAGGAATAACGCGTTACACACCTTTGGTGTACTCTGTTTCGTTTAAAGTCGTTTTAACTGTTTCTGGTGTAATCCCTATTTCCAATTCAAATGGATCAAATACCATGCCAACATCCAAGGCGTATATTAGTAGACCTTCGGTGGTAGCTGCAGCCCATGCTTGTCCTAGGTAATAATAATAATAGGTGGAACATATAACCTTATTGGAAATTATTCCTTAAAAATTCTATACAGACGTTACAAATTTTACCTGTTGGGGAGAACTGCAGACTGTACACCCTCACTTCCGGTTTCATACGTCTACTTGCCATATCACCACTTCTAACACCTGGCAATCGCAACATCACGTTTCCCCCTTCATTTTCTTCGCGTTCTTCTACTAACGCTAAATTTCCGAATTCCGATAAATTCCGCCTGCTTATAATGTCCTGCACGAAAACAAATTTGCAATATAATACTAATTGCCCGACATGTATATTTTTTAAGTTAGGGTCATTAATACGTTTCTACCTTAAAATTATTTCATTCGAATCATTAATCGTTTAAAATAGTATTGCTACTCACATCAACTGCATCTAACGACCTGTTTTGAGTCACAACAAATTTTTTAATGAGCAAACATTCTTGAACGTTATAAATACATATATTTTTGGACATTCCACCAGCTAGTATAGATGTTCCATCAGCTGAATAACATAAAGTGGTAAAAGCTCTGAAAGCACCCATTGTGTTAGATTGATTATACATTCAATTGGAAATTTCTTAATTCGCGCATAAACTGCTGCTTATATTTTATCTTTATATGAATACTAACTTGCCCTGCAGACTCTTCTTCGCCGTTATCAAATCAGTCTCAGATCTTCCACTACCCAAATCGTTCCTTCCTTCGATGCTCCCGATTTGTACCGCCGTTTTACAATTAAAAAATGAAATCTGCCCATCCAGGGTAGCAACTGCTACGTCTTCGCCGTTCGGTTTATAAGTAACATACAAGCCATCCGCGGTTAACTGCAACGTTTCATGGCTGGAACCGCTTTCAATTGCATTCCATATTTTCAACGTTTTATCCCATGATACGGATACCATTTCTGTGCTAGCAGGATTTGGATTAAATGCTAAACCGACTACTGGACCTTCGTGTCCACTCATTATCTATTTAGTAAACGTGCGTGTGACAGTTATTAGAATTTTAAAGCAATCTTAAAATCATTATACGAACATATACCTCTAAAAGGGTGCCCAGTTTAACGCTCCACAGATAAATCTCGAAGAAATCTTGGCCCCCCGCTGCAAGAAACTCGTCGCTTGAGTCTAACGCCACGCAGGAAAACTGCACCGGCCGTGGTGAAGTAAGAGTTCGAAAATTCCTGTACCTTGCTAAATCATAAGCTCTGACCGTTCCATCGAGCGAGGCAGAAACGATAAATTTCCTATTATGACTGAACAAGACACTTCTTACCGTGCTCGTGTGTTCGTGAAATGTAACGGAACAAAATCCGTTGATCGTATTCCATAATTTCACTTTTCCATCATCACCACCGGTAACAATATACTGACCGTCTGGGCTGTATGCCAGACTGTTCATGTTATTACTATGACCCTGTTGTTTCATTGCATAAGTTTCACTCTGCCACTCCCATACTAATAACTGTCCAGCCGTAGAACATCCTAGGGCTATCCAATCTCCAGTTGAATTGATCGCAATCGATGAAATGTACTGATTTGATATACTAAAAAGGAAGGATAAGTCATGTGGCAGTCATCAATGACCTTCACGGCAGTCAACGTGTTAACGAATATTTTATAATATTGTTAACGATGAAAGTGATTAATACCTAAGAGAATGAATCATATTGACATCAGGCATTTCATATAAATAAAATGAACCATTACTAAATCCTACTACTAAAATACAGGTCCCCTGGTGATATGCAGCTGCAGTGAGTCTGATTTGTTCGTTTTGTTTCTTTTCAACGTTATTATTTAAATAATGGCGACATAATTTCGCATAACGAAACTTCTTGATTTTAGAATTCACTTCGGTGTCGTCGTCCGCATCTGTGTCGGGGAGATCTCCTAAAATATATACCGTACTATGTATTTACATGTATTACATATACATCATAGCCAGGATCTCAGAAAGCTGAAAAGTTTAAACTTAAATGATTGCAAAAAGAGGTAAATCCTCGACGATTGATAAAAACTATCATGCTTTCAGAAATAAACCTTTCAGCTCCTTTCAGTACATCTAGTTCAGGAAACAAAATTACGTGATTGTTGCATGTTGCGCTCGTAAGCTTTAGCCTGCTTATCCGTTTTCTCTATAGCTTTCTCCAGATCGACATCATCTTCTGTGTCACTATCTTTTTGTTTCTTCTTCTTTTTAAGAGAAGGTTCCCATGGTACTAAATCATTAGCATCAATTGTACATTCCCAAATACAGAGTTGTCCGTTTCTGAGAAATGAATATGAATTCTTTTAAGTTATAGTAAAACATTTTCAAATATGTTATATTCGAAGTACTTACCTGCTAATTGTAGTTAAATCGTAATTCTTTTTCTCAAAGAAACATGCTACGATAGCATCAGAATGACTACCTAGATTAATATACCTAAAATTTGCATATTTCTGTAAGCTGTATATTTTGGTAGCATTATCTTTAGAGCCAACAGCAATTATTTTTGAATCATAAGACCAATTAATAAACGTCGTTTCATCCATAGCACCATGAAATATACGTTCCATAACAAATGGATTATATTCTCCAGTTTGTAAACCAGGTGCATTAAAAATGAACACTAAAGAAATGATTGAACATAAAACATTTGTACAAATATTCCAGATTATTCAATTATGTAATTAGACTGGAACATTACCATTGTTTTCTTTGCACACTGCAAAGTGTTTACCATCTGGAGAAAACTTTACACATCTAATACGTCTTTTGAATTTATATGTATGTATTATCATTTTACTGACCATGCTGATAACATGAGCATCACCCTCTACAGAAAAAGTTGGAGAATTACAATAAGATCTTGAACATAAGTTAATGTGCATAACAATACAAATAAATGTACCTTCATTGACTGCAATTAACAAAGCTCCATTAGGGGATAGATCGATAGATGTATAATTGTATCTACTCTCCACAGGTAATGTACTTGATTTATTACTAAAATTGAGTATTATATGAGTCAGTTCAACATTTAAGCGCACCTTTACAAATATAACATCATTTTTGTAGTACTTACTTCTTTAGATCATATATAGTTATTCGATTTCCCACAGGGCAGATAACAGTTGATCCATCCGGAGAAAATATTATATCTCCCTTATGATAAACTGTGCCAAGCAAGTTAGAGAACTACGAAAAACATATAACATACATTTGTAAAAGTAAACATTCAAATACATAGTGCTTAAAATAACTTTTACAATAACTTTTGTAATTGTATTAGAATACGTGATTTATTTTTGATGATATCATTTGTATCGAATTTATACGTTAACAATCATAATGTATTAAATATAAATACACAGTACATTGTAGGATTAGGTTAGAAATATAATGCAAACAAAATGTGTATTATCAAAATAAAACTTAGAATGGTTTACTTCGAAAATTCTTTATTGGGAATATCTACCTTATACGCGAACCTCATGGTTTCTTAATATATATATATATATATATACACACAATTTTTCCTAACAATATTTCTTGATATCAGTGAACACGTTTAACATGACATTTAAATCGAGCATGCTGCAGCCGCTGTGTTGCAGTTTCCGGTTATCCGCGTGCCCGATCACGTGTTTGAAATGAAGGTGTTGGCTCAAACTACTGAAAACTCTAAATTGAATTTGTTTAACATAATTTAAGATAACAGCATCATTTCTAAAACAACAAACATTAAATACTATCACAAAACATCTAAGAGGGGCGTGTACATTTATGTAGGGCAATCATTGATTTCATAACACATCTAACTATCTAAAAAATTATGGTAAAAGTAATTGTTCTGCATTCAATTTAAATGCAACGCATCAAGTAATAAATAATTCGGTATTTATTGGCATTACAGTTACAGCCTAAGCTGTACAATATAATTTAAAGCAAAACAATAACAGAATAAGTGTCTTGTATGAATAGAAAACATCCTTGATTATACAATCCATAACAAGGATCATAAAAACATTGAAATTTATAAATAATAGACAATTTTATTAAGGAAGAATCAAATACAAATTAATTCTTTCTATCAGGAATATTTTCCCTCGGGTAGATTTGAATCCAGTCACGTGTTCTCACACGTTCCACGGAAATAACCTCAAAGTATGATACCGCCGTGATATAAAACTTTCAAGCAATAAATATCATTTTCATAGGAATATTTACTATAATCATAGTGAAGCTGAAGGAATAAAAATTTCGGTGAAACAGGAAAAAGAACAGGAAACGCGTGTCACGCGCTTCGAGGTACAAGAGGCTGCGCGGCTCGTATGCGCGACGCACCCCTAGGGAGCCTATAGTGAGGCTTGACGTCAGATATAAAAGATGAGACGCTCGACAGGATTCGCTTTCGTCGGTGTAGCCCGCAGTCGCGAACCAATAGCAAGCGAATAGACATACCCGAGGCACGGCAGTCTCTTCTTCTCTCGCTCGTCACTCGTCACATGACCCGCACTACTGTACGGTAGGCCATATTTGACAGTGGCACTAGTTTAGCGAAGTGAGCGTGAGTGAAGATCGCTCCTGTTCCGGACCGTCGTCGTATTTCGACAACCTGTAAATACTCGTGTACAATTCGTTCGACGGCGTGAGATCTCGAATAAACACGTAACAATGAGCGAACTATCAGAAGAAAAGCCTGTTTACGCGCCCTTCTTCGGTGTGATGGGCGCCGCCTCGGCCATCATATTTTCTGGTGAGTTTCAGTTGTTCGACTGTAGCCTGCTACGAGCGTGACGATTCTTATACCCGATAGAGAGAAAGAAAAATAATAAAATTCATACGATCATAAATAGGGAATCATGATTCTTGAAACGCGTGTAACATTAATGACTCTTCTGTACGAGCACGCCATTTTCTTCGCTAAGGGCGACTTTAAAGTGTCGAAAACTTGGTGAACCACGGAGATTAAATCGACTATTTGTCCCGTGATATTGTACGCGTAGAAAACCAAGTCGGTTCGGTTAGGAGATATTATTGTTATGCTTTTGTCTGATCGCCGATAAGCGGTGTGAGGATCAATCGACAATAATAAACTACTACCTTCGACGACTGTATATAATATGATCTTGTTCTTTTTCTTGCCTCTCTTGTACTCTATTGTCGTTGTCATGTCTTCTGTCAGGCATTAATATATACGTAATGTCGACGCGGCGTTACGGGGCACGTTCTAATACGAACGAATTGTCGAAGGTGTCAAGGATACGGATTCAATTTCGAAGCGCCATTTTTCTAGGCACGTAGATCTGGGATTTCGTAATGTTCCGTAAACGCGGTCCAACCAACCGAGCTTAATTTTACATTACGAGAGAAACGCGTTCGCGGCGATTCGGCCTGGCCACCGTTATTTCGTAATGCTGACCTCGTTGACTGCTTTTCAATGAAAGGGTTCCTCGCGGTATCGCCGCCCGGAGAGAACAATCGCAGGATTAAACAGGCCGCCAGTGGAAGATTCCGATGGATAACCGATGTGTATCGGTCGCGCTGTTGGTTTAATTGATTCACGGAAACAGTCGGCTCGAAGGGGAAAAAAAGGGAAAAGAATGGAATTCCGAGAACGCGCGTAGTTAAAGTTTTCAAGCATCTCTGTCCCTATCAAGGAAATCAATACGAATCTCCCTTTTCCCGTGTGCGCCAGTCTTGAATGGACGGAGGCACACGAGGAAGATTGACCCAACGGCATGAGGATTCCCGGAATGCATCGAAGATCTTGATCCTGGGCCAACTGAATGATCTTGTCCAGAAATCTAATCTGGCACTGATCATCCACGCGGCTTACCCGCCTGTAAAATATTCGAAAGGTTTTTTTTTTCCTTAATCCTATCACGTCTTGCATAATTTCTTGATAGTGGATGAATGAAATGGAAAATGGAAAGACATAAAGCACCATCGTCCCGTGCTTGTGCCACGCCCCCCTACTCACGGGATGGGACTTACATGATTATCATGTGACTGCCAACGTGAGAATCATGTGACTGCGATTTCCAGCCCAGCCGGGATAATTTGCCATGACTAGATCATGGATACATTTGTTTCTCTAGATCCAGTCCGAGATACAATGGGAAATACTAACGAAAATGGTTACAGAGCTAAATACCAACGGCGAAATCGGGTCCGCGACCTCGCTGTTGGGATCAATATTAAACGAGATCGATAGCTCTTAACGGGCCGCTATTTGGGGGGGTATTCCCGGTTAGACTGTTAAAAAAAAGGTTCTCCTGTTCATTAAAATTCAGTGATCCTCTTGGAATACACTATTTCGAAAATGGATTTGTAAAATGACGGACTTAAACGAATTGACAGGTGTTTTACGTAGTCGCCGTATCTCGAGAATGAATTAAGACTGGTTTTAAGCCTTGAATATAATTGAGCAGATAGCTTCAAAACTTTATCTTTAAATAGTTTTGCAATACAAGAAAAATTATTGTAGAGTGACGTTTCTTCTTATGAAACTGGAGCCTTGTGTTGTACACTGGTATAGATAGTATTATGTAGATCAAGGTTTATTTTACTTTCTTGATGATTATGCACAAATGTGTATTTGTAATTCTATAAAATAACAGCAGGCAATTTGTAATTTTTAGATTTATTTTAAATGTTATGAATGGTTTAAGACAGTTGCATCTCAATTAAGGAACACCTTCCTATTGTTTCTGGTAAATTATTAAGGGCATGTTTAATTTTGTACAAGATAATATTTGTTGATAATAATTTAAAGAAGATCTAATATTAATATATACTGTTATTGATGTTTTTACTTACTTTAATAAACACCTATAGAAAAAGAAATATGCTTTTATTGTTTTAACATGTATTACAATATATTACTAAGAATACTATAGTGAATAAATAAGGTACATTCTATAATACATGAGACAGCAAATGTATACAATATCTCACAAATAGTGTCTCTGGTATATTTCTATATAATCATTGCTTTTAATAGTTAACTGTTATTTAATATCTTAATCAGTAATAATAAAAAAGTAGAACTATTCATAGAATGTAGATGAATAAACACTGTAGCCTTATGGGAACAAGTTTGTGAGTCATTATATAAGGTGGATATTATTGTTCCAGCTGTTGCCAATCTAATTGTAACACTATGTAGTAAATATTTTGTCGCATGACAACCACGAATAAAACAAATACAATGTCATGCCTATTTTACTTACAGCTCTGGGCGCAGCATATGGCACGGCAAAATCAGGCACAGGAATTGCAGCCATGTCTGTGATGAGGCCAGAACTTATCATGAAATCCATCATTCCTGTTGTTATGGCGGGTATCATTGCCATTTATGGTCTTGTAGTAGCAGTCCTCATCGCTGGTGATTTAGACGAACCTGCTAAATATAGTCTTTTCAAGTATGTTACAATTTTCTTAATTGGTGTAACTTAAACATAATTTATTTTAATAATATTACAATACAGTCTAATAGAGAAGAATCTGCAATTACTTTTATCTTAACATTGTAGAATATATAAGATAAGGTATTTTGTCTAAGTAGCACCAGGCCTTTTAAACATTTGCGTTAACACTGAAAACATGGATAACTTCAAAGATACTTTGAATAATGACTCTGTTGCATTGTATATTCGTTCAGGTTTCACAAATTAAAAAATACTTACGTAGACTGTTATAAATGTAACTTATGTGCCGTAAACAGTCTAGCAACGCTTTTTTATTAATGTTCTCCTTCATTAGACTTGGGGCTTAACTAGTTCTAATTTCTATTGCTTTATTTAACGTTACATTTGTATATAATCGACTATTACTTTCTTCTCACATAGCGTTAACAAGGAAATTTTTTGGTCTTTTTACTAGGGGTTTTGTTCATCTGGGTGCAGGCTTAGCCGTAGGTTTTTCTGGTCTAGCTGCTGGATTTGCCATTGGTATTGTTGGTGATGCAGGTGTAAGAGGTACCGCTCAGCAACCTCGCCTGTTTGTCGGTATGATCTTGATTCTAATCTTCGCGGAAGTATTGGGTCTCTACGGTCTCATCGTTGCCATCTACTTGTACGCCAAGTAAACACGAATGTTAGTGGCAGGAATGACGACTTGTTTCGACATTTTACTTAAAACACATTTTTTCCATGCATACTCACATCGAGTCATCTAAGCATCCTTCTGTAATTCTGTATTGAGGTTGAGATATTATTAGAGTCCGAGCATTTAAAAAACCACATCTTCATTGCATAAAACAATACAAACCGTCTGAAATCACTGCAAGCGAGTTAATAACAAGAGTGTGCTGAGACCCTTAAAATCGTTCGATCAAATCTTTGAAAGTCAAGAGAGACAAAAAACAAACCAATTCAGTCTTGCAGGAAGAGGGTGTGTGTACAGAAGATAATGAAAAGCGACAGGCGACAGGGAGTTTACACTGAGGAGAAAGACCCCCGTTATCCCATGCCGAACATTTCTCTTTCACTGTATAGTAATCATTTGTAGCGTAGTTTGACATTGAATTATCAATTAAGATAATCGGCTCTACAGAGTGTATAAAGGAAAAAAAAATGTTATTGATAAAAGAATATTTAGCACAATTATGTATTAAAATGCAATTGAATCAGCAGTATACAGATTGCAGATGAATGTCTCCACGACGAAGTCCAAGGAAATGGAATTAGAGATAATCCGAGTTGGGAAAAATGGCGAAGAGGGACACGCAGGTTGCGTGCGTGTGGAATATACAAGCATAATACGCGAGGATTGTACAAAAACTGTAACTTTAAACAGTAACAAAAAATGGAAAAAAAGGAAAACCACAGATATTGTACGATCGAAGCTACATATACAAGACACAAAGTATAGTATGTGGGATGAAGTTTTAGAAAAGAATAAAAAAAAAAAATGAATGTGAGTAGACAATGGACAGATACATGATAGTATTAAGTCAATTCAGTGGCTGCTGGACGTATCGAGAAATCGTTACAATGAGCAACAGTGTACATGGTTCACGCGAACCATTTTGGATGACCGCAAAGGCCGGCGGTGATTCTTCTCTCTGTGCTGAACATACTGGGTTCCGCGTGTCATTGGAGATATATATATATATAAAAAAAAATGAAGCGACAAGTATGCGAGGCAGTGAAAACCGATTCCGTGCGTTCCAGCAGATGTGTATGACTACCTAAGAAAAGGAGTTACGAGATAATGTGGTAAAAAAAAAAATAATTTGTACATTCCATAATAAGTTTGTTCAGTGCAGGCGAGCGGGCGCTTGTAACGACGCGAGAAGAATAAACCGGATTTTTTTTTCTTTAAAGAGATAAAATTCAGGTTCGTTCGCCAGTTCGTATTCTGCGTGACGTATTCAATGATTCATTAAAGGGGATAGCTATGGAAAAAGTTGCATACGCAATCTTCTTGAAGGGTTTGCTATCATGGGAGCTGATAGCGAACCTGTTAAATGGCCTTTCCATCGGCCACCACCACTCCCCGTATCAGAACAAATCGTCACGATCGAGGACACAAGGATCGGTTGCGTCCGCTTGCCAGAGTTTATTGACTGCGCAGTATTTTCTATCTAAAGAAAACAACAAAGCTCAACGTGTAGGCGCATTTCCGGGAGAGAGAAACATAATATGAAACACGTACACTGGGACATATATATGTTACAAAACAACGTTCAGTGCAAAATAACGCGCATCAGCAGGTGGGTACGCTGTTTCGATACCAACATCCGTGAAAACAGAAAGAAATAACAAAGAACAGCTTTCTTGGTACCCCCTCTGTTTGTTGATCGCCGGTAGACCTCGCTTGAAAATGCCCATTCGAATTCTGAACAACGACAATTTAAAAAGTAAAAACCGAAATGAAATAAATGCTATATAACCAATGGCGTAACGGAAATGGAAGAGAAGTCAAGAGCTTTTTGAGGGGGAAATAAAGAACTCTCGTAACCTAGCGTGACCAGCGAAACGCGAAAATCGAGCCGGGGAGCGGTGGTGGTGGCTTTCTGCAATGAAAAAGAGAGAGAGAGAGAGAGAGAGAGAGAGAGAGAGAGAGAGGGTGTGAACGATGTTCACTTGAAAGCCATATTCGACAAGACGCAAAAACACGAATATACTATATGCCAATTGCCTATCTTCCTTACCTCCCTCCACAACCACCCCACCTTCCGATCAGTAATAACGATAATTAAACATCTGCTATCTAATCATGAATTGAGCGCGTGTAATGTATATATCACCCGCCATGCTTTACACTTGTACGATTAAAAAAATGTTTAGGCTAGATTAGGTAAGGTATTATTGCGTACCAAAACCTTGTGTAGCTGAAAGAAAGTATAATCACACAATGTGCAGAAGATGTGCGCGTGTGGTGTGTGTATGTATGTGTGTCAAAGAAGAGAGAGCAAGAGAAATTTGTATGCGGAGAACGAGTACACATATGAATGAAAGACAAAAAACGGGAACACAGAAGCACTGGCAGATATAGAGATCGCTGTTACCGCCACCGCCGCCCCCACGTACTATCTTCCAGTGTTACTAAAAAGAAAAAAATAGACTCATTGTTGAGCGCAAAAAAGTGATACTGATCAATAATAAGAATGATTATTTATGTTATAATTCGTCCTCGATGTTACAGAAAAGAACCGTGTTTAATAAAAATTTAATTTGGACAAACGAAGTATCAGTACTCACTTTTATCATCGACGTCAACCTAGCTGTATTACACGCATACACATATATACACACACACGTACAGGTAGCGGTAAGAATACATAAGGGGTAGTCCTACTGTAAAAGAATTGAAAAAAGGAATCCAGCTTTTTATTGCATCCTTTTAAGGTATAACATTTCCAGGATATGTTAAAAAAATTCGATGAAGTTTCGATATTGAAACTGGTAAGGTCCAGTCTTAAAATATGGGAAAATTTAAGAAACAAATTGAACGTGAACGTTTTAAGTATGTACTAAATTAGGAAGGCCCCATGAAACGCATGAAGTTCATTAATTTTTATCACTGCCATTCAATTTAATGAGAAAAAAACCATATGCTTTCTATACACATCATCAGCATTAGAGATTTAGATACAGAAATAGCTGAAACAGAGCCAGTAACAACCTTAAAGAGAACTCGAACTTCCATCGATTCGCCCCTCGACTTTCAAAAGCAAGATATCAGTATCATCTGTTCGATTACGAATCACTCGTTCCTCGCCTGTGAATGTACGGTTATTGTTTGCGTAACGTTTTCGGACAACATTGATGATCGAATTTGCATTCTAACGACGCGATTTTTTCTTTTTTTTTAAATGATTGCACGTAACGGAAATGCACGCTCCGTTATGTAATCGACTCATTGTACGGAAAAGTTACACACGCGGTACGTGTCAGATGGAAACTCTAACTTGTGCTTCAAAGAGGAAATCACATTATGTCCCTTACGTTACGATTTCGAAGATACATTATCATTGTCAGTCGGGTTACTTGTGGACGATTCAAGAAGCATTAGGTGACGTGGCGTGTATCGGTCGACTAGCAATTATTTCGAATTATCACGATCTTACGTGGTCTGTAAATACTTGGGGAAATATATACATATATAATATCAAGATGGTCTGTGATTAGTTTATTTTATATTTGTATTTCAGCGATGATCAGTGTTCAGTTATTACAAATCGCAAGGTTCGATTATAAAATTAGTTTAATACGTTAGACTGCTGGTCAGCTTCTTGTTTTTTTCTTTTCTTCTTGTAGATATGAGTCAGAGATTATAAAAAACATATACGTACACATATAAATATAATATAATCGTGTTATTCGTGTATTATAATACATATATAGTCGCAACGTTTTCCGAACCGTGAGTAGTTTAGTACATAGACGAAAAACGACGTAACAACAGTCGATGGCGCGCAAGAAGACTCGCTCGTTATCGCGTACGGCGTTGTTTGAAAACACACATATCTCGATTATCTTTCGTCTGGCTGCGTATTTGCATCGTGTGTAGGGCACGGTTTGGAAAGCGCTGGTATTCTCGTCGGCAAACATATAACATGATGGTAAACTAGATTTAAATCAGTCACTCAAAGCCCTCCCCTCCAACGTCTACAGATGCAGCAGGACTCTAGGGCTGTACATTCTCGGTGAAATCAGAGATAGGTAAAATTTTTGTTTCTCTGAATACTGTCACGACGTAACGAATAAAAGCTGACAAACCTTTTGTCCGTTGTATCGCCAATAAAGGTAACAACTCGAATCATTAAAATAACAGTATGTCACTTTGTACGAATAAAATAATTGTCTTAAGAAATATTGTAAAGCGCCAGGAAACATTTTCAAATCCGTCAGTCACGGCCCTGAATCGGTGGTGAGGCACTTGAAATACGCCATTTTGTCCCCTTACGTCTCTCCGTTGATCTTACTGTCTTAACACCTACAGGATGATTATTCCATCAACCCAATAACTTTATAGTTACTAGCCTCCGGATTTTATGCGTTTGTAACATGTACGAATTTGTAAAATAAGTTTGTGTGAAATTTAATGAATTGATGTTCGATTTGCGAGCTCGCAAAAAATTTTGGAAGTTAAACGATCAGGCTATATCGTTTCCGTTGAGAGTACTTAAATTATATTACATTCGCTGTAACACACTTAACGGTCGGAGTTATCATTTCACGAGTCGGTTGAAGCTGTATTACGATGCCCTCGATCAACATAACGGGGGGACTCTCGCACACACAAGAGACGAAATATCTGGCAACGCGATACCGTTTCGGGCGCCTCCCATAGGTACGCATCGTTCATTTTTTTTCTGTTCTCACGGTGAAAGTCTGTCGTAGAATGGGATCAGTAACGAAAACGAATAAGAAGGTAAGATTATAAACATTTCGCGTATACGGAGAAACTTTTTACGATACGAAGAGAGAGAGTAATTATGTATATCGCTTATTTAGATAAACACTAATGGCAGTTGGTAATGTATTACATCTATCAATGTGAAATGTTATATATGTATAGTAAGAGCAGAAGAAAAATGTTCGTAGAGAGAGAGTGAGAGACAGAGAGATTCGCTGAAATACGCTCGCGTATTTAGAATTATATTAGTTGACTATATACTTTGTCCACATGTACGCAGTTGTGTTTTTAAAAAAGGCTCTATACGTACGCTAAATAAACACTGTTTATTAGAGCCAGACACGTGTAATTATCGCGACACAGTTAAATACTGCGCTAAACATTTTTGCCTTAGCTCTCAACTTCCATAACGTGATCGTTTGTTTGTTATTATTCATTTAAAACGAACTTATCAATTTTCGAGTAATCTCAGAATATTTTCAATTTTTCATATAGATCGTGAAATTTTGGTAGTGTTTTTGTTTATTGCATTTATAGAACTTCATGAGTAACATTTTGTTTATCTTATACTAACGAACGAATCGACGTTGGAAAAAATGAATTCCATTTGCTCGTCTGTTCGGATGCTCGTTGCTTATCGTCGAGAAGAAAAGGGTAAGTATATTCTTAAAAAGAAAAAGTAGGTTCTGCGATTATTATTTTCTATCCACCGGAATTATGCGGCTCCTCGAGGTCGGTTCTCTTAGATCAAATTATCCAAGGCGTGCGTGGCTGTGTGCGTAAAAGTTGAATCGAGTCTCTCGATTAATTCCTCGTAAAACGCGTTGTGTATAATGAAAATTTATAAAAAGGCGTCGTGACTCACGTCTCGCGAAACAGGTCGTGCATCACGCGTAGTTCCGAAATCAGAACTCATGAAACTATCGTCGGAGAATAGTCGTTGAATTGCTTCCTTATCGCGCAAATGGGAACGATAAACGTTCGGCGCATTGTTTTCGTCGTGCTGCTTAAAGTGAAAAACGACACTTTTAACGGACGATTGATCCGTCATCGACGGATGCAAATTCCTCGATTGTAAATCATCTGTAAGCCAGATTAGACGAAGCTCTCTAACTACATACACTACGTGCATCGTGTTTCGGCCATGCTCCTTTTGTTTCGTATTATCTAGATTATATAAAATTATAGACATCGACGAGCAATTTAATAACGCGTCGTTGTTATGTATACATACATACACGGTTGAACAAAATAGTTGTTCACCTCTTATTTTTACCTATCGAAAGAGCAGCATTCACGTCTATTACCAAACAATGTTTTGTGGTACAGTCGAAACGCATGTGTGACGTTTTATCAATAATAAACTCTTTTAAAGCGCCAAAATCCGTTTCGTAGGATCCAGCTTGTCAAGGATCTATTTTACGACCATGCTGTATAATATTCCTACTTCGTTTAGAAAGTATTGTGTACACAGCGGTCCGAATGTCGATTTTGGGTAGGTGTTCAAATACATGGTCCTCGATTTACGTTGCAAACGATCGAATGCTTCCAATGATATTACATTAATTTATATTTAACCGATCGTCGTTGACGTGTACACGTATATATCGGGTGACTCATTAATAACTGCTGCCTGAAATAACAGTTCCGGATAACTTCGAACAACAATTTTAGGATGTATGTATATACTTTAAGTTCGAAAAGTCGTATTGGATACAAAGTTCGATTGTTCTTAAAACTTGTATTTTTAATATTTTCCTTTACTGTAACAATATTGCATTTAGTTAATTTTTTTGTTAATAGATTTCGTATGTTTTCTTAGTTAAAATTTATTCGTTAATAGAAAATTGAAATCGATGATATCTAAATCTGACTTGGACGTCAGAAAGAAAATTGTTCGAAGCGAAACGTCACCACTTACTGTACCGAACATTATCGCGCCGTAACAATAAGTATCGCAGATAGCGACCGATTACCTGTTCTCGTGTTCTCAAAACGGATGTGTCACTTCAGAGTCACAATCCCGAGGTCGTTTCTCACCTATCATGACTCTGAAGCAATGATCAAATGTAAAATCGTCGAAACGTTTCGTATGTCTGTTTTCATATCTTTTTTCTCCTAAAATATCAACAGGAAATTCTATACATATACCTTGGCAGTTTTTAATGATTCACCCTGTACACGAAGACAGCTTGCACGTACAACGAAGTGTTACTTCGATAATAATAAACTGAATTCTCTTATACTAGTAAAAGAGGACACGTATACGTCCTTTATAATTATATATATTATGTTATTTATACTTGTAACAATTCTAATTTAGAAGAAAAAAAAACTAGAGGATAATACGAAGTGATTAGATGCATACTGACATTTTACAAGGTAAAATGAAGTTAAGTAATAACGAACGTGAGATAGGGTAAGGTGAGGAGGAGACAGATGTTTCCGAAAGTGTCAGGAGGCCCATATACACATCTTATCGAGGCCACACGAAGCGCCAATATTTCGAGGTGTACAATATGCATACAGAGTGAATCATTTTTGTATGTAAATGAACTTCCCGGTATATTCCTTTTCGTAAAGTAGCCTACGAAATATGAATCGGCGTAGTTCTATACTCTGGTCACTTATAAAACGGATAGTTGGAACATTTTAAAAACTCCACTGTAAACTTAATACTTTGGTTACTCAGTGTATAATACTTGTTTCCGTACAAAATATGTGGGTTTTTCATTGAAAAAAAAAAAGAACTAAAGGTTCATTTTCAAAACTTGGTACGTAAACATTGCAAAAAGAAATAGCGTTATTCTTTTAATTTTTAGTTAAGTTAAGTAATTCGTGTTATATTTCAGAAGATAGGTATAATATTAGTTACTCGTCTATTGACTTACAAAATTTCATTACAAATACAGCGCTTCGTGCAGTCTTCTCAATGAAGTAAAGAAGAATTTTCGATCGATTCACCGCCGCCTCTCCTTATCAAAGGTGACTGCGGCGGTGAACACCGAGAGAATAAAGCAATGACAAGACACAAAATCGTAACGATGATAAATCCTAGGAACAAAATTTTTATTGATAAAGATAAAAGATATTTTCTTGTTATATCAGCTTTAATGTCTACGATGAATTAAAAACGATTATAATGTAGTCCGTTACGTGAGAAATAATACTGACGATATCATACATGATTCGTAAATTCGATTTGCTTTTCCATTGTTTCGACTGAATTTTCTTTTTGTTTCTTTCTTTTTATAATTAATACACATGAGAAAAATAAATTAATAAAGTTGAAGTACAATATCGCATGTGTATAGGTGTGTTTGTGTGTGTGTGTGTGTGTGCATGTGTATGTAAGATTGCGGATTAAAAGATTGGAATATTGATCGACGATTATTCGTTTCACTACACAATAACCACCCGCGGGTTAAATGATCGTTTCACGTATTATTATTATTATTGTTTGTTTTTGTTCGTTTTCTATAATAAAAAGGTAACGAGCAAAACACGTAAGTTAATACCACAAATACCCATTAAATATTACACTAATTGTCGCTATAAATTCCCACGTACAAAGAATATTATTTTGAAATTAATATTAATTAAATTCTCCGCAGCGGGATCAGGTCATTACTTTCGAGAGTAAGATAAAACAACGAGATTACGCATAACACTATCGGATACACATGATTCGACTTATCAAATTCGCCAACTCGATAAAGAGAAAACGGTTTCCACTCCTCCATTTTTGTTTCGTTCTCGAAACACCGCGGTCGATTATTTTTTTCTTTTTTTTTTTTTTTTAATTTTTTCTTCACGAATTACGCGTATCGAACGGCGAGAATGTGTGTATTCCAGAAAGAAATAGATCTAATAATGATCATTATTTGGACATAAATGCTGGGATCGTCGACGCTCTGATTGCAAACCACCGTCATATTGTATCGCAGGGAGGGAAAAAAAAAGAGAAAAATGCAGTCTAATTCCGACAACAAATCTTAAAAAGTGGTGTATCTGTGTGGGATCGGGAACTCCATACCCAACAATGGAGCAAATAACATCTTGGGAAAATAGGAGGGTTCCGTGGAATAATGGGTAGAGCTCTGCTTTCGGTGCCGGGGGTCGTGAATTCGAATCCCGCTTGGGCCCTCTCATTTTTCCAACGCTCCTACATTTGGGGGCTCGTCCGGGATAGAGGCGACGACGATGGCGATACGAAGAGAGTGGGCACATCTCCCAAAAAGTTGAATAGTGGGTGTTGATTTTGAAATAGCTCCAAACTATGCGCATGTGTGGTCTGCGGTTACTTTGAGGCCAAAGCCGTGCAAAACCTAGAAAAATGCGCGGGGCATGGTCGGATGGGCGTTATTCAGCTAACCTAGCTTCATTAACGAGGGAGTCAGTCGAACGTCACACAGGGATGAGTGCACCGGCGTAAAGTGCAATTTGCTGACCGAGTGCCAGGCGTGAATTTTGACTCCTATATAACGGAGCCAATTGTAAAACAATTCAGCAGGCTGTATACCCAAACGGACGCAACATGGGAGGATATCTATTGACAGTTCGTGTTTATATGGAATATGCTACAAATACAAGAGGGTGTCTCGTTGACGTGGATCATAGAACAGACCACAAATAACAATGTCACCTGTCTTACGACAATTGCTGATGTGGTCACAAAGTTGCAGTATTTTGACATAGATCTCTTGCTTAGACGTGGACTTCTTAGTTCAAGCCCGGGATCTTCTTAGGAATACCTTTTGCTCACTCGTCCGCCCCACCGTGAACATCAGGCAATACGCGGATCTTGCATTCCTTTGAACTTATGTCAAGCGTGAGTTGCTTAGGGATCAGGCCTTCGTCGGTTACAGAGGACAGGCGGGCACGATGTGTGTCCTCAATGCTGCCGACTTACGTCAGCTGGGGCAAATAATGTTCGACATTTCGCAAGACAAAATAAATGCTGACGTAAACATAATTGATTTTTATAAGTTGGCGACGCCCGATGCTGAAGGTTTCATTCGAGAAATTGGTGGTGAAATGTTTATCATACCAAATAATGCACCTGTACACCAAGCCGTTGACCCTGCAGATCTTAATGCAGAAGATAGACGAGAATTTCGTAATGCAGAACGTGAGCGTGTGCGGGTCCTCAGAGCCACGCCAGGCTCGTGACCTACCAGACGAAAGAGCAAAAAAGCAATCAACACCACAAACTTCAACGGATGGAAAACGATGCTTTAATTGCGGTGCAAAGGATCACGTAGGTGTAAGCTGCCCTTTCAAAAATAAAGGCACCAAATTCTGTCCTGAAAACGACGGCACGAAGAAGAGAAGCTGTAACGCGACGCAAGCAGGCGAGAAGAGGTACCATAAAGAAGTCGAGATAGAAGATCAAAAAGTAGTTGCGCTCATCTATACGGGAAGTGATCTCAGTCTTATCAGGTCAGAACAGTATATTCAAATAGGAGCGCCTAAATTATCTAAACGAACAATTAAATTCCGCGGCGTAGGCTCTAACGATAATTTTACTTTAGGCGAAACGCACGTTAACATTGTAATAGATGGTGGGTCTCACGATGTAACATTGCATGTAGTGTCCGATTCTCTGATGTAACAAAGACTAATACTTGGTTCCGATTTTCTAAACACCGTAGAAGTCCATTTAAAAGGGGGAAATATTACAATTTCTAAACTAGAAGCAAACGTGCCGGATATTTACAAAATAGATTACATTGAAGATAACGAAACGATTGATCTAACACATATAAAAACATTGATCTAACACATATAAAGGAACCCGAAAATAAAACCGCGATAAAAGATATCGTAAATAGTTATCAGCCGAATAAAGTCCGTGAAGTAGGTGTTAAAATGCGTATTACTTTAAAAGACGATATACCGGTGCATCAAAGACCACGGAGACTCTCACTAAAAGAAACAGCCGAAATAGACAAACATATACAAACATGGCTCGACGACGGTATAATACGACCATCAAATTCAGATTATGCTAGTCCAGTAGTGCTTGTACAGAAAAAGGACGGGGCGACGAGACTTTGTATAGATTACCGCAAACTAAACGAGAGAATTATTAAAGACCGGTACCCATTACCCGTGATCGAAGACCAGATAGACAAATTACAAGGTGCCAAAGTTTATAGTCTCATAGATTTGCAAAACGGATTTCTCCATATTATGTTAGAAGAAGTCCAAATGGCCAATATGAATTCCAACGCATGCCTTTCGGGTTGTGCAACGCACCCTCGGTATTTCAAAAATTTATTAACGCCGTATTCAGAGAACATATTAAAGATGGTACCGTGTTGACTTATTTGGATAACTTAATTATACCGTCGATGAATCATGAAGATGGTTTGAGCAGACTGAAAAGTGTTTTACACACGGCGAGCGAACATGGATTATTATTAAATATAAAGAAATGTAAATTCTTGCAAGCAAGAATATTGTATTTAGGCTATATAGTAGAGAATGGAACTATTATGCCGTCGAACGAAAAAACAATTGCCGTAGAAAGATTCCCGCAGCCTGATAGCGTTAAATGTGTGCGTAGTTTTTTAGGATTAACAGGTTATTTTAGGAGATTTATACCGCGTTATGCGCTGATAGCTCGACCGTTGACTGACTTATTGAAAAGTGGTGTCAAGTTCACTTTCGGCGAGGATTAAACACGAGCGTTCGATCAGTTAAAGTCAATGTTAATAAGTGGGCCCGTTTTAAAGTTGTATAGGGCTAATGCAGAGACAGAGCTACATACTGACGCGTCTATGTACGGTTACGGAGCGATACTTATGCAAAAAGATAACGAAGATTGTTCGTTCCACCCTATTTATTACGCAAGTGGTAAAACCACGTCGGCTGCAGAGCGGTATACGAGTTACGAATTCGAAGTTTTGGCGATATTTTTCGATTATTTTCGTAGTTGTAGATGCATTTTCTAAGTTTTCGTGGTTTTATCCAACCAAATCGACGGGTACAGCAGAGGTTATCGATAGGCTCAAGAAACAGTCGGTAATATTCGGCAATCCAAGGAGAATAATTTCTGACCGGGGCGCCGCGTTCACTTCCCATGGTTTTAAGGACTATTCCAACGAAGAAGGTATACAACATACTGCCATAATCACCGGCGTACCACGAGGGAACGGACAAGTCGAAAGAGTTAACAGGGTGTTGATCCCTCTTCTTACGAAACTATCGGCTCCTAAGCCCGAAGAATGGTTTAAGCATGTGCCCTCAGCAAAACAATATTTAAATAATATTCCGAGTAGGAGTACAGGCGTCTCTCCATTTTTCATACTCACGGGGACGAGAATGAGAATCAAGGACGATCCTCACATTAGAGAACTATTGGAGACCGAGGTTATTGCTGCATATAACGAACGACGAGACGACTTGCGGCAGCAGGCAAAGGAAAATATCGCCAAAATACAAGCCGAGAATAAGAAGCAATTTAACAAGCGTCGGAAGGAAGCAAAGACCTATCAAGATGGCGATTTTGTTGCGATAAAGAGGACTCAGTTTGGAACAGGACTTAAATTTCATTTCGAAATTTTTCGGCCCTTATCGCATTACAAAAGTATTACGTCATGACCGCTACGTGGTACAGAAGATTGGTGAAGGTGAAGGACCGCAGAGAACATCAACATCCGCAGATTACATGAAACCATGGCCAACAAGCATAAATGGTGATATCAGTGAGTGAAAGTGAAAAGTATAAGTGATAACCATCTAAGGACAGATGTTTCGCGAGGATGGCCGAGTGTAGTGGTAGGAATCATCGGGCAAGCGCGATGATTTGTGTGTGTGTATGTGTGTGCTTGGATGCTTGCGATATAGAAACAAAAGACGGTGTGAGAGCCCCCAAAATACGGCGCGTGGTCGACGAAGACGGTCTGAGACAGGCCTGTCCAACTTCTGGCCCGCGGGCCAAAATCGATAATCGCCCCTACCGGCTTGCTCTTTCAGCCGAGGGGAATGACCCCCCTCCATATCCACAAGAAGCCCGACGTATAGAGAAAAGAAAGCGTGTGTACATGCTCTGACTGTCCCCACTTCTGACGCTCCAGAAATTCCTACCCGCACGTACCTCTTGCCTCACGATCGCATCGCAGGCAAGCGAGTAGTGGGGTATGGACTGAGTGATGGTGGGGATCGCGTCGTCTGGCGAAATGACCCGCGGGCCAGAAGTTGGACAGGCCTGGTCTGAGAGAAGATACACGACGACGACGATCCGTCAATGTAACGCACGACGCACGATTATATATTTCCCATTGTTACATTTTATATCTTTTAAATAAACCATACTTTTATTAGTTCAACCTTACATCTGTGCTCTGTGTGTAACGATCGCAATAATAAATATGTACATCATTCTGAGGGGAGAGCTGATTATTCGCAAACGATGAAAAAAATAGATCTATCCAAATTCTTATGTTCAGTGTATACATACATAATAACATGATACGTTACATGCTTAACAAAAATTCATTAATTGAAAATCTACGAAAGTGAGAAATGTACACGAAGAACGGATGATTAAAGTTTCTCCGAATTAGAAGAAGGAAAAAAAGAAACCATGAGAATAAAGATAAGGAAGAGAGTTCTTCTACCGATCACGAGAGTTGCGATATTGCACTAAACTTCTCCCTCTAGGCAGTAACATTTACGGTATCGTGTCGGTCTGAAGGTTTCGCTTCATTGATTAAAAAATAAAAAGAATGATCATGTAGATGCGTAGAATTCTAGAGGAAAGCTACAGGCGGGAGATATGAAGGTAAAGGTGGTTGGTCATCGACAGAACAACCAGGGGGCCATTTGTAATAGATTACACCAAGGTATGTTTATTCCTTTTTTTTTCTTTTTTAGACTCGATTTAGTCGTGTCGCGAATTTCTATTCTCGTTACTTATTGATGTGAACGTTTTTGTTTTTCTTTTTTGTTGTGATGTAGGCTGCTGGTTGTTAATCAACGTCAACTGATTAATTACTTATGTTAAGAATTAATGGAGCATCAAGTGGATACACATTGGCAAAAATGGTGTTTTTGGTTGTTTGGCGTTATAAGAGCTTTGACTCAGCATTATTTTTCTTTTTTTTTTTTTCATTTCCAAGATCTACAAATTCATTTTAGCTTCAAAGTGAATAATGCGATAATCACACGCTTCGCATATTATTATTATTATATTTATATATTTATATATATATATATATATATATAGTATACTGCTGAGTCCTGTTTTTTTTTATGATCGACTCGTTTTTTTTCTTTTTCCCCTTTTTCTTTCAAGAAGGTAAGATGTATTTCGATTGTTGGTGATCAATTATATAATAGTAATAATAATAATAATAGTTAATAATAATAGATAATAATAATTCCTCATAATAAATGTAAAAGCTGGTACACAGAGATAACAAGCGACTCACTGGTGCCGCAGACAAAAAGACTTACAAAAACGTGACACATGCACAATACTAGACAAAAACTTTGACAACACAGATCACCAGACTAAATTTTTTTTTCTAGTTTCTTTTTGCACCGATGTTCATACAGCGGCGTGTGTGTGTTTGTGTGTGTATGTATGTATGTATATGTTGATATCTGCTGGCCCAATATGATTATAAATCATATGAATATTCAATTATCTAAAAACATTCTAAAACTTCTTGCTTTAATAAAAGTCTGTTGCAAACCACCCGATGGTTGCGAAACAAAAATCAAATAATCTCCTCTCTTCTCTCTGTCGGACAATGATTGTGTAAAGTCCTCTTCTCGTTTGTTTGTGCGAGGGTTTGACACAGACTAACAAGACGTTTGTGGTATTGGATGGAGAGACAACTCAATTAGTAAACTGAAACCACCTGGTTTAGTGATATCGATAGTAAAACCTTATTCCAAATTATAGATAGTAACCTGAAGAGCGTATTCCTTCTCAGAGCTTTTGCATTCTGTAGTTCTTGTTGTTATCGTCGTCGTCGTTATGATCATCACTTTCTTCTTCTGTGGACGCGTTATCTAACCACGTTAACCAACCGTTCACCTACACCATTCAATTTGGAAAAATTAACCGTCTATTTTCATTTTCGCTTCTTGATGTTGTCAATGGAACAAATATAGTGACTTTCGTAAGTCTTGTTCAAATAATATCCGTTTAGTGGTATAAGATACCACTCAACAACTAAAGCTCAAAAAGGGTCGATGCAAATCCATTCTTGAAATATAAATATCAAATACTCAAATGAACTATCGTTCAGTGCCTGATAATATTTTACAAAATCATTATAGTTGTTCCATCTATAATACATGCAATAGCCCAATATGTTAGAAAAAATATGTGACACTCCTTGAGGGTCTTCTCTAACTTTGTTGGGCTATAATAGTATACATATTACATGTATTCGTTAAAATAAATATAAATAACAAAAATTACTCTTAACACATCTATATGAATTTGTCGATAGAAGTTTTTCATTATTAAGTATATTAACTTTATTTACCTCAAATAATGCTTTGCCCTTGCCCGGATAAGCCTCGGTGACGAACTCCTTCCATTTGAAGTAGGCATCTTCTTCGATCACTTCTAGTCGGTAAAGCCCGTCGAACCATCGCAGTAGCATCCCTTTTGGGCAACTGTGCGAGTACCAAAATGTTTGAAGCGCATGGAGAGCTGTCACCTGCGACTCTGTATCGATAAAGAGGGAGCGCATCAAGGGTGCATATTTCTCCAGTAATGCCTTTTCCTTATCTACCACTGTTTTGCCTACGTTAGATGGATCAACGCCAGGTGCCAGTATTGTTTCCTGTTATTATAAATACAAAAAATTTTGGTTATTAAAAGGTAAAAAAAACATACTTCACAAGAGGGTTTCAATGTTTCTAGTTCAAGCGTGTTCACATCTAGAATATCAAAAAATAATAAAATTTAGGTGCAAACATTTATATACTTAATTTAGGGTAAAATTATTTTCATAAAAACTATTGGGTGTGATCACTCTCAATTTTTTTAAATCACAGATAAAAGTACCTTTGAAATCGTTAAATGAGTACTTCTACAAAACTAAAAAAAAAAGAAATAGAATATACGTAATTAGACGAACCTGCGTAATATATTTAAGAAGAACGTTCATCAAAGCGTTGATGAACTCTGAATCAGTATGATGCGACGGTTCTAGCTTTTCTTTGATCCATTTGTAAAGAGTATTCGGATTCGGGTCGTATTCTAGTTGACGCCAGATGTCTCCCTCGATCTTAAGAAGCGGATAAAGGAAGGTTAACTCTCTGTCCTCCAAAATCTCCGCCAGTCTTTCCTTCGTCTTGTCGGCCTCTGGGAGCTGACTGATAAGATTCACTTTGCTCTCGTTGAAGATCTGCGTGAGCCTTGCTTTGCCTTGGGTTTTGTGCAACTGCTGGAGAGTGAGCAAGAACAACGGATGGTGTTGGCCGTTTTCCGTCACACCGACAAGATTGGTTAATTGTATTGAATTGTCGGTAATAGCTTTGGCTGTCAAGAAGGCAACGTGAGACGCTACACAAGGCACGGTACTCTCTTTTTCTGGTATATTGGATACTAGTTCTTTCCACCCCTCATGTATCTGCTGCATAGTAATCACGTCTGCTTTCTCCAATTCCACTATCATCTTGGTTGCGAGTTCGCGCTCAGAGTCACCACGGTCTAATGTGTTAGAGTACAACGTATAAACGGCATGACGTAAAAATCGTTCGGGTATCTTAAGATCTTGGAAAGCTGTTATTGCATCCTGTATGTTCATATGCGAGACAAGGTCGTCCATCAGCGCGTTCACTTTCTTCAGTATTTCTTCTCTAGAAGTACCTTTATCCTTTCTGTCCCTGGCTTTCTCTCGTTTGTCTACTGGACCTTGTTTTATCACGATTGCTGGCGGCAATTCCTTGTGCAATAGTGGCGAATTATGTATCAGAGTGTTAGTACGTAACAGAGGTAATTCTGATGCTCGTCCTGGGAACAGATCTATAATTTTAATGATAAAGCATGGTTATTGCGTAATGACGTTACTAAAGCAATGTTAATTCAATTAGGCCAGAAACTACCGACTCGGTTGATCCATATTCTTTTTATAACATTTGTTCAACCAAATCATACATATATAGCTACTGATATTTTAAAGATTAATAACAATATGTACGAGGTAATGAGATATTATATTTTGACGAAGTACTTACCACTGTTGAGAGGTAGGTTGGGATTAATGTTGGTCTGTTTGAACATCATAGAATTAGCTGACGGTCTAAGTGACACTTCTTCTGGGTGTCCAATCAACATTTTATTCTTATTAAAGCGTAATTGTTCTTTATTGCTACCTGTAATTCATTAGAATCCATTGATTAATAAAAATTCCATTATTTTCTTCAGCTTAAGTTTCACAACATGATTGATTCTAAGGCTATTGGATTAGTTCGTAAATATACGGTATACGTACTGTTGTTGAAGTTCTGCTGTGAGTTATGTTGCTGTTGATTATGTTTCCCTTGATAATTATTCTGGTGACGAGTCTGATTCTGATAGTAACCAGACTGGTTACGTTGATTGTGGCGGCCATAACCAACCCCGGAACTCCCCGAGAATCCATTTGGGCTGAATGGAGATGGCATGCCAAACGACGGGGAAGTCAGTGGAATACTTCCCATCATGTCCATGTCTAATCCGCCGCGTCCCATCTTCCTTAAGAACTCAGCTCCGAGGCGATCCTCACGTCTATGGAAGCCATTACCCCTCGAAGACTCATCATTATCACTGCGGATCTGATTGATAGGCATTGGACCTTCAGTGCTAGTTGCTTTGCGTGGTACCCAGCCATCACGGCGTAGTTCAATGACATCACGCAGCATAAACTTGATGCGTAGAGGAAGATCGCTGCTCTCTGCCAGTGACTTCATACGTCGAAAATATTGATCCATGAGTGCGCGACCTTTATCCGAGTCAAGGATACGGCCGCAGGTACGCATGATCTGGCAGAGACACTCGATATCCTCGGCGGTGTCCCCCCTGGATCCCCTTCGCCTTTTCTTCTCCAGTAATTGCTGGATGCAGCGATGTAAAATCGGTTCCGAGACGATACCAAGCTTTCCCAGTTCTCCGATGAATTTAATGTTCCCAAGCATCTTCCGCTTGGCCACCTGTCGGCGTTCTTCTTCCTCTGGACCGAGTTCATCTTGATTCTCGAATGCTTCACTTGCTTTCGAACGATTCTCAAATTCGTCTTTGCACTTATTAAGAAGGAGAAGTGTGAACGTGCTTTGGCCTTTTTGACTTTCAATGAGAGTTTTTCGGGGTTCAAAGTTTGCAGCTTCGTCAGACAGCCGTTTGCACAGCTGTGCGTACATAGAACTGTACTTGGGTTCATCAAGTGCTTTTTCGAAGATCTGAAAAAGTAACGGGATAATATTAATCGTTTCTACCGAAGACATTAAATATACATAGAGGATTGTTGAGTAATCGAGGACTTACCAAGAAAATGACACCTCTAAGAATCACATCAGAATTGAGCTCAACGTTGAGCAGGTCGTTGCTCAGCTTTGCGAACTTTTCCGGCGTAAGCTTATTAAGGATGCCCCGCACCTTTCTGAAGATGAGATCATTTCTGCTTTCTGGGGTGAGTGCATCGCGTCTAACAGTTGAAGGAGGGATCCAGCGTTGCTCAGTGGATAGGGAGCGAATATCGTCCCTGGAAGGCATCGAATATTCTTAGTGTCAGTGTGGACAGTGTTACACCGTAACACAGAGGTTCGTGTGAGGGTGTAAAAAGACGCGGCTCGCGGTATGACTGTTTATAGTCAATATAACTGTTAAACCCTGACCTTCCTCCCGAGACACGAGAAGCACCCCCCTGTCCTGTGGGGTTGTCCGTTGTTGCGCGTGTTTCGGCCCCTTGAGTGATAAATCACAGCACACAGATCTTCCTATAGGAAGCTGAAACAAAAAGAAGATTACAATAAGCATACTTGTCAATCTGTTGCCAATTGGTTGCTTACACGCATGCTACTCCTTCCATGTTTCATTATTAATATTGCAGCCTTTGTACCTGATGATATAGAAATATAATATATTAACAATTATTGACAACCATGCATTACATTTTCTTTTCATAAATACAGTTACTATTGTAATGTTTCTGTAAGGTCTGATCATCTTATTATGTCGTACAACATTGTTCTTTGCAAAATACATTTTATTAACACTTATTTGCCCCTTCTCCTATTATCTAAAATTTAATTTACTATCTTACATTGAAATTGCTCCCTCTATACCCTGTCATATTTCATAAGTTCAATATTTTAGGTATACTAGAAAAAGTGACCTGGAAAACATATATTTCTGCATCTGTAAAAATACAAACCACTTGCAATAACACTCCCTTATATTACAGTACACCGAATACACAAAACACTCATGCAAATTAGAAGATACAAATTTATTTCCAGAGATAAATAAGATCCATAAATATATACAACATATTAGTGTATTTCATTACTTTTCAATATTACAATAACTAAGCCACCCATAATTATTTCTGAAATATCATCGTGCAAAACAAACAGCAATCAACATACAATTCCACAATAACAACTATGATGACAATTCGTATCACTGTGAGAACAACAATGCAAACAATGCTTTTAATACTCAGAATATCATTTGAGCTTCTCGATAAGTATCCAGAACAAAGAGTTTATCATTCGAATGATAGTTTCAATGTACAAAAATTACTCTTGCTCCATATAGATGGCATAATGTGAATGAGAACAAAAACCATCAATTCTCTTTCAGTATTATAAAAAATTCTAATTCCAGCACCAAGAGGCACTGGTTAACGTGTGCGGCTTTATTGCGCTCACAGGTGAAGGTCTTCAGCGGGCAGGACGAGGACCTTCTCCAGAGGAATGGCTTTGATCTTGAGGTATCGGTTACGAGCAAAACAACCAAAAGCCGTAGACGATGAACGCGGAGAGGAGCGTATGTGGGGCGCGGCTCATGGTCAGACGGTCAATGAACCTTTCGTCGTCTCGCCTCGACCGATCTCGGCTCCTATCGTCAGCCTGATCGGGCGAGGTCGGACAGCTTCGCCCGCGGTTCGACTAAGGTCGTCTTTTGACCACCTCCACTGAACGTCCCCGTGCACTTGGGATCGCGGCCTGGGAAAGCTTTGGTCCGTTTTCAACCACAGCCGACAGGAAAATGGCTGTCTCAAGGACGACAATTTCAATGTCACTTATCCTTTAAAAATATTTCTGTGTTTTCGCTGATAAACAGTTTAACGACAGTAAGATTATCAAGAATTGAGCTAAACTGATTAAGTCCATGTAATCAAAAAGAACGAAAATTAACGATATTTACACTAATCTGGACATTTAGTTTCACTGATATCTGGTCATTTAATTAAAAGAATGTAACTTTGAATTAAAGTACGGATAATCGGTACAACTCGGTTTAAAATTTGAAGAACTGTTTACGACTGGAGCTGTTTATCAAAGTCTATAAATACTATTCAGATATTTTTTTAATAAAGATCTACATAAATAAGGAAAATATTTTTTTTCACGAGTAATGTATGTTTGCTGAATAAATATAGTTGAAATCAGTTTAGAATGTATGCACTAATTGCAGAAGTGAATCAAACAAGCATGAAGTAATTTATGACAACAGCGTATTATCCATGCTTATGTATATTAGATTTGTATAATAAACGATGAGTTCTGTCGTATGTAGTAAACGCATCGGTAAGCTTCCCAGTTCGATTGGAATAAAAGAGCTGCGAGGTGTCGCGTAAATATAGAAATTTTCAAATAACAGGTGGGAATCACACGAAGTTTTTTTAATCTATTTTAAACAAAGTAAAAATGCTTTAAAAATAACGCAGGGTAGAATAATATTTGGATATAATTCTCAAATTCAATATAATTCGCAAATATATAAAATTGCATTTTATCTCAGTCTACTTGATAATGGTTAAGGACTTGAAGTTATTATTTATTACTGTTATTTACTGAAAATAAAAATTTGCCGAACTTTGTGTCGATGCGACAGAGAAATACGAGGCTGCCCCCAACGGGCAAAGCGGAAGCTATATTTACGAGCGAAATTCCGTTGATATACCGGCACACCGACGCGTATGCCTCGAGTGGCGTTACTCTAAGGTTGCACGACCGAAGGTCGTCGCCTGAAACACACTTCGACATTGAAAATGTTCTTCGGTGCATTAAACCGGTATTCGATCTCGTTTCCTTATAAATTTATATTACCTTCGGCGCAGGAGGCTCGAACGAAGGCCTCCCCGAAGGCGACCGCTCAACTAGTTGAATTACCAAAATAACGATCGAAATTGCTTCGCGTATCTAAATTTACCTGCTAAGAATTTAAATATCTATCGAACGTATCACAATCCGATACATAGAACAAAACTCTCGCGTGTAAATATTTTCGTGACGTTTCTAACTGTTCCACAATCAACATTATATTTACCGTTTCCGATAACTTCGATAATATTTTCGTTCCTTTTTTTCTTTGTAACGTTAATAACACTGTGGGCAACTTGCAGATAAAATTACGTACCGCGGCGCACGTTGTGGAAGATAACGTGCCTCGCGATTCAGATTATGGAATCCTGGAATTCTGGGATCATGACTCCGGAAATGTGAGATTCCACGGAAACAGTTACAGTTAATCTGTCATTTCTGTTAAACAGGTAATGCAGTGTATATCAATCTTGGTATTCCATAATTACAGTATTTACGAATATAGTAGTTCGAGCTAGCAAAGTATCAATATGAGTAACAGTATTTTATAAATAATTACGGCTGAACTACTTTCGAATGGCTGAACGTATACTAGAAAAGAGAAATTCGTGTTGTCAAGTTAACGCGTAAGCTAGAAATAATCATGGTAAAATAAAAATATTAGTACGGTCTACGTGTTAATACTAACGGAACGAAACTTCTAATATCGAAAATAAATTACTGTCTAATTTGCAGAAACATCCGCGGTCTAGTCAGAATTGAGAACAAGAAGCTATATCCCAAATTAAAAGTTGGAAAAGATGTCACTATGGCTGAGACGATAAACGTTTAATTTTGTCATTACTAATTTTCGTAAGACAAGGCACGAAATAGAAACGCGTGACGGCAGTAAACAAAGAGATAGCAAAGAAATGACGTAAAACGAATTGTCGCTATCCTTCCCCGAGCAACTTCGAAACACTCCATTACTGTTTCCCCGTGACACGTCACAGATGCGCTGTGACGGTTGCTCTCGGCGAGTTAGAACAAGGCTGCCAACTTCTGAAGGCCGATAACGCGTCAGATTAGCGGAGATTGTAGAAACACGATGATGGAATAACTTTAACTGCAATGTGTCCACTATACAGTGAAATGTAGAGTAGATATAAAATGAAAGTTGGTTAAGCAAACCGAAATCAAACTTCAACAAAAAAATACTACTAAACAAGAGAAAACCTATGTAGATATAGACACTGACCAACTGAAAAACGTACTCTTCAACGGTTAGTCTCTATGTATTAGCACAAAAAGTGAACCATGAAATAAAATTGTTGTTTTGCTACGTACTCTATATTCGCATATGCCATAAAGACATACATACAATCCACAGTTTAAGTCATCGATATTTTTTAATACACAAGAACGCCGTTCGAACAAGAGGCTCATTGTCATGCAATCATTCTTTGTGCTGCCGCGTACAAATCATCTTTATTCATAGGATGCATTTACGTAGTAATGTATACCTTTCAACAATCAATCTCTTTAGAAGAGGGAATTTAGGTTTTATCCAGTGAGTGTAACTAGAGTAGATCGTGTATTTTTTCCGTCGCACACATTTATAATGTCAATAATAATAGCAGCTAATTGTCACTGTTTTATCATGCAGCCAATAGGACGCAATCACACAGTGATATAAACAAATGCATGTAGCAAAGCATCACTGGAATCCCCCAAAAGCAAAATTGATCAAAACAGTACAACTACATTATCGGAAACGTACCTCGGATATATAACATGCAAAATACTTCAAAATGGAATTAATAAAATTAATAAACGGAGGACTCATTGAGGTATGTATGCCTGAAATTTAATGGGAATTCTTGGCGATCTAGACTATTTTAATATGTCACAGTTACGTGGCAAGGTGCAAACCAGACCCCAACAAAGTGGACAGCTGAAAGGAAATCAGTACGTCTATTCATAGCTCGATAAGCGTTCAAGTCTGCCCCTGTAACAAAGAGGCCGCATACGGCTGTCACACTTTCGATGTAGGAACAGTCATATGGGCGAGCATTTAAAGGCGCACCAAGCGAATGCGTTCACCGACGACCGCCTGCGCGTGTGGAAACCCAAGCATTAAACGTTTCGAGGCTGTAATCGTTAGAACACGCACGGACCGTTGATATACCGGCACAGAAACTAGACCGACGAAAACTTTTTTTTCCTTCCTTTGAATTGTGTGTACAGACGAAATTAAACTCGTTAACTCGGACAATACACCACGCTTTGTTTGCGTACACGCCTTGAGAAAAATCACAATTGCTCGAACGTTCTGAAATGAACTGAACTCGTTTTGAAATTATAAATTCCTTTCAGCATGAAACTGTTTCTATATTCTAAATGAGAAAGAAATATCGTTTTACATTAAAAGAAAAATAAATACATAATTTAAGAATAAAATAAAAAAGACGGGTTGCACATGTATGTCCATGCAAGTGTTACGTTTTTCTGAGTCAAGCAAAAATTTCAAGCTTGTTTGATCATTAAATATTTCTACATCGTTGAATAGTATAATACAGAAAATATTTTTACCGTCAATTTCGCTGTAAAAATGAATATGCATTATAAAAAAAAAAAGAGTACGGAATGCAGTTGCTTTAAAAGTTAAACGTTTAGTGTGTCACTAGGTACCTCGAATTTAAAATCGATTCACGATAATCGCCTTTCGACCAAGAAATTCTGTGGAAATGTCAGAAACATGACAGTACGCGGCTGGTGGCTGGGTTTCGTTGCACGGCTATGTGCGTGTGCGTGCGTGCACATCGATCGAGAGAAGAGGAGACGCACACGTATATGCACCGTTTGCACACGCATGTTTACGAGACGGAGTCTGTCGAACATCCGTAGCAAAATGAATGCCGTGGAACGTTGAAATTAAACTTGGAACGATTTAAGTATAAGCGAATAAGAAGAGAGAAATGGAAGAAAAATGTTCAAAATTCAAAAATGGACGGAACAGTATGGGGGGCTGTCCTACGGAAATGACGAAGAAGAACGGTTTGGCGTGAGCGACATCTAGAACTGAACTAGCTCCGCGTCGAAGAAACAATCAAAGTCAAAAATGGAACCTAAATACCGACTTCCAGAAAACAAGGGCTGCTTCAAGAGCTGTTTGACGCGAGCGACGTCCAGAACCGAACAAGCTCTGTGTCCAACAAACAGTCGAAATCGAAAACAGAAAATAAGGGAATGTATTCTACTAATTTCTATAGGAAGGATAAAGATGAAAAAATATTCGAAATTCGAAAGTAGACAATATAGCAGTAACTGTTCTATTGAAACAACGACGAACTATTTGACACGATTATTGTTTATTTAGAACCAAACTAAGCTGTACGTCCAAGCAGCAAACGAAGTTGAAAAGAGAATGTACCGATTTCCGAATTCTTAGAAAAAAGGAAGCCTCTTTATACAACGCCGTCACGAGGATTACCGTAAACGACGACGAGCTTATGCTTTCGTTAGGTACTATAGGCACAACGCGTTTTGCGTGGATGTATGATTATTCGAAGCGAGTAAAAAGCGTGCAAGAAGCCATAGAGGATCAACCTACTTCAAAAGTCACACCGATTAAAATGTCAAAAGTAGGTGTTGCGTAGGTGCCCGCAAACAACGCTCGATTACCATTCTCGCGTATATATCGTATGCTTCTTTTTTTTCTTGTAATATCGAGGAACGAGAGTTACTTTAGTAGGAGAAACGATTGTGGTTAGATTGGAGATAGGTTGACGGAATGCGGACAGATAACCGAGCAACGGAAGATGCGTTCGAAGCCGACATGACGCACGACCTATGTACGTGCAGCATTGACTGCTTTGAAGCAACCCTCGAGAAAATTCTATCAGATTTTTATGGGTTTTTGAGTAGGTTCTCGCTGAAAATAATTAGCGTTACGTGGTAATCGAACGTCAGATTTCCCGATGGCGACGATTATGCGACGGGAAAACGATTATTTTAACAAGTAAAACGATGAGAAATCACAATAGCGTTTACTTACGGCCGACGGTTGTTGTTTCTGAAGGCTTTCGCAATATATCGGTCGTACTCGGGAACTTCCGTGCGGTACGTGTTGTCAAGCCAGCGTCCGCCATGCGACTAACCTCTGGTTATAGTAGAAGCTGGCTCCTAGACGATGTAACTTGTCGAATGAAAAAATTTTCTTATTATTTTTTCGTGGTTTTAATGATATAGACGCATGAAACTTTATTGAAATGAATTTATCGTTAAGTTTATTTTTGAGTCTAGCGGTAGGAACATATTAGACGGTGTTTCAGACAGATTTACATGAGTTTACAAAAATTCATTCCTTACTAGACTGTCGTGCCTTTTGAGAATTCAGAATTTTATGAAATTTTGTGGAAAAAATATTAAACCTTTTCGTTGAACTACTTTTAATACAATTGTGTTTCAATAAAGCGTAACAAAGAGATTCAGGTGTTAGTCTGAATCACGTAGTATCGACGTTGCAGTAGACACATCGTACTATATATAAAATCGTCTCGTAATTCAATTTGATTTGAAATACTCGAAATACATATATGCTAAGATATCAAACATTTATTACATTAAGGTATCTATACGTTCATTTCACGTAAATGGAAATGTGTAATTGTATTAGTTGTTAAATTGAAGCTTAAAAAATGTTGTAGGTCGGTAATACAGGAATTTGTTAACATCCTCAGTCGAGAATACAAAGAGACTATTGTCACATGGGCGGTGGATTAGATCGTTTAGGCAACTGTCAGTTTGTGAGATTCGACACACAAAAATAGTTTCTTTGGTTTTTAAATGTGAATCAATAAAGCAATTTTTATTTAGATATTAAGAACATTTGTGATAAAACAAATCAGGTTTGTTGCACGATCGACAACGTCTCACATCTTCATTAGCTTTAACGTTCTGAGTATATTGTATTCGTTGTACACCATTAGATCCAAATACTCGCCGAGCTGCTTATAATCATAGAATCGTTTTAAGGAACTTGAGAAATTACAATTATTGCATGCCTTGTCAAATGACAATGCGATAGTTGTCTTTGTACGAGTGTTCTTTGTATGACAATCACGGAAACATGTATGCGATATTTACACATCGTTTTCCCAAATTTACGAAAGATTCAGTTCATTAACAATATAATTATTGGCACTAGATATAAAAGCGTTAACGTAGTCGATGACTAGACTGCGGATTGCATGCACTTATAGCATGTATGATTATCTAAATTTTAGCATAGAAAGATGTTCAGTTATGTTTAATAAGGTTCTTACTAGGCTGCTATATAAGTTCTGTTAATTTTCCCTTAGATAAAAAGACATGAATCACTCTGAATCATCCTGAGAAAGTGTCATTACAAACACAGTGTATAAAGCATAAAGACCAACAGACAAAGAGACAATGTAATTCTGAACTCATACTTTTCTTCTCGTGAAACTAAATTTGTATCTAATGTGTTTTTAATGTGTGCTAGAACCTTTGTAGCCATTTAACATTTCACGTGCAATCTGATAAAACCCTTAATAGAACAATTACAATTTGGGCTCATTTTATTTTTCATACTATGAGATATATCTCAAAGTACAGTAATATATGACAAAAAAAAGATCAGATATGCAGTATAGAAATATTTCATTTGCATACTGACTTCATTATAATTTTAAGCACCTGTAATTTTTACATATGTTATATACGCAGTGACTATAAAAACTATTTGCAAGTATTCATTTTTCTCAGATAATCTTTTAAGTTTTTAGTTTATGTTAAAATTAAACTTATTGAATTTTAATGAATTTTTAAGCGATGTGCTTTTTACTACTCTATTTTTTTTACCCTATCAATATATTTAACACACTGTTACATATTGTTAACATTTTATGATTTCATTATGTATCTATGACAGAATTTGCATTTTGTATGTAAAAGAATCATTGTATTAATGTTATAGATATACTTTTTGTAATATTTGAGGACTCATATACTCATTTGTGTTTTTTATGTTTTCATATATTTTTCATACTTTACAAACAATTTTTAGAATAATTTCCTTTATTTGTAGAATGGCTCATAGTTCTCAAACATACGGGTCCACGGATCAAAGGACAGATGTACCTGATGTGGGATTTAGCCCTACTGAACTTTATAGTCTCAGCGAGAATATTACTACTAACATATATACAATTAACACAAGTTGGAGGACACTCGAACATGCATATAAAAATATTGGAACCAATAAAGATAATGAGGGTCTAAGGGATAAGGTGTAAGTACTTATATATATTTTACACAGTGTATAGTACTTTTCGAAAGACACTTATAGTACTTGTATCTATTTTTGTATCCGTTTAGGAATGTAACACAGTTAAGCACAAATCAAGTAGTAGCTCAAACCAGTAAAGATATCGCAAGACTGACAGTGCTAATGAGGAGAGGGGATAAGCAACAGAAATTGCAAATTGAAAAACTGACCACTGACTTTAAAGATGCTGTGGAAAGATATTCTGAGATGCAGAAGGTATATAATATCCCATTGCAATTGCCATTGGGTTGTTGCATACTTTATCGTACTATGTTTTTATATATGAAAATTATCAGTATAGGTCACTAGTTTTTTTCTTCTGTTGTAATATGTTTTTCATTACCTATGAAGCACTAATTGATTTAATCTATTATGATTAGTAAAATTTGTTCAGAGTTACATAAAGTATTACTAAAAGATGTATTATGGTATAACATTTCATAAAAACAAACTCTTTCAGTCAATTGCTGAAAAAATGAAGAGACGTATTTTGCCTACGCTTAGTATAGAAAGTCCAATGGATGCGGATGAGGAGGAACAACAACATCTGCTACAAACTCAAGATGAACACGGAGCGATACAAAGGTTCGAAAATACAATTTCCATTAATTTTTCCGACTATTGTAAATGTATTTACCCATTCGAGAGTAGTGAAGAAAATTCAACTAATTCTCACAGTTTGCGCGCGAGTGATGGGTTCAGAGATGGCTGATGTAATTAATCTCGTTAAGAAATTAAAATTCAATAGGGTTTCTTCCCTAATGATTTTTCTAAGACAAACAAGTAGTTCGTGGATTTTATAGTATAGGTATCCTAATTTAAACTTAAAATTTCATTGAAATGATTAAATAAATGCCACATGTATTATTAATATAGAGAACTTGTAAAATGCACTTGAGTGTATGGTAAGTCTGCTTCTTTGTATATTGATGGAAACGCAAAAATAATAATTTGCTGGTTATTACGAAATAGTCCACAAATCATTGTTTTCCATGCAATGCCTAGGAGTCTTGAATTTCAACAAGGATTACTGTTGGAGAGGGAAGATAGGATAAAACGGACTGAAGGGGAAATTTTGGATGTGAATCAAATTATGCGTGAACTTGCAGCATTGGTACACCAACAAGCGGACACAATCAGTAAGTACTCGGTACTGATGTACAGAAAAATATTGATTAACTACGAAAATTATATCGATAATGAATAAACGTATCGAAAGTAGTTGCTACGTTCTGTTACTCAGAATTGATAAGATATTTAAGTTCATCCAGTAATTTAAAGCCCATTATAGAATTTCATGATACTTTTGTGTTATAGACACGATAGACAACAACATAGAAAATGTACACGCAAACGTTGAGATGGGTGCACAAGAGTTAATCAAGGGAAGTAATTACCAAAGTAAATATCGGCGAAAAGTTTATATCCTGTTGTTACTTGCAATCATAGTCGTTGTTATATTAATTATTATTCTAGTCACTAAATTAAGTTAGCGCTCCTAATCGTTGTAGATGTCGCGGGTGAACGAAAAGGGTTGTCTCAATCTATCTTGTATCGATTTTGTAGAAATAATTGTTGTGGGAACGAATATATTTCGCCAGTTTGTGTATGGACACGCAATACGGGGAGAGCATAGACTTATTTTGTATTCGTTTGTAAATTGATCGATGTATAGTCGGAGCGTATTCTTGTTTCCTGTTTAAACTCACGAAATACATTTTATACTGTTCTCATTGCATGCCTACCCCCCCCCCCTTGTGCACTTATTCAGAGTCAATATAACCCAAAACGAATAATTGATTTTCAATAATTTTTTTGCACTAAAAATTGTGTAAGTAAATTCTACACGCATAATTTATGCATAATACTATCTAGATATAAAATAATATATTCTGTAATTTCCGTGAAAGAAGTACTGAAACGGTACACAAGGGCTATATATTTACATATTTGTAGTCTTTTTTTAGTTTTCAATTTTTGGGTAATTTAAGTTATTAAATTCAGATTCAAATAAAATATAACAAAGGTATATTCATACCTGCATTACTCTCGTTGCACCAGGCTTGTAGCAATGGCAGAAAGAAATTTTATTTCAGTTCTTTGAGACAATTGGCACAGTGTTGAATAGGGTATATCAATAATTGTCACTTTCGTTGTATCTGCTAGTTAATATTTCACAAGGAAATTTGATAAATACTTTTAATTATCCTGTACATACAAATATATATATTATTTTTTCAATGAATTATATAGCATTGTAAATGCAATAAGAGTTTAAATAATAAAGTTAAAGCGAAATTGTTAATGTTATTTTGTAACTTTAAATTCTATGGCAATGTATATTATTTGTTGAGGATGCATGTTAAAATTGTATACTTTACTGATCAGCTATAATCTGTCATCTATTTTTAATATTTATATCTACAAGATAATAATTTACAGTTACTTACTCTGAGGAACAAATTCATTCACTTAATCATTTTGAAAGATTTAAATTTATTCTATATGTAGTTTGTGCATATTATTTAATCTATGAAATAACTTCAAAAGATATCAAAATATGAATGTATCTCCAAAATAATACAGAGTGGTACTAAAACTTAATCGATGTTATATCAATAGTACAATTTATAGGTAATGTAATTTTTTATCTCGATCTGTACTCACTAACGTAATAATTTTTTATTGCATGTATTTTGTTACTTACGCATATGTTACAACACGTGCGTTGTTTAATTTGTATCAAAACAACAATTACAATGTGTAAAACTATTATTAAAAGTTGCGGAGTGTTTTGCAAATTCATACTCTTATTATATCGAAATTTTTTGCATACTGTTGATATAGAAGAAAAAAAGTCAGTTTGTATTGTTGAACAAAAGCATGACCTAGGAGCGTTAATCATTATACGCTTTGTTTGTAATAACAATATTACGTAATATGAAATAGTTATTTCCTTATTCTCTTATTTATTTATACATACGAACTCTTTTGAATTATAGTTGTTTTCTATTTTTTTGCAAATCTTACAATTTGTGTATATGTGAATACTAACTACCTGGACTTACTACACATGTATGCAGTTGTTTTATATTCACTGTTAAGTGTTCAAATCACAGACTTTCCTTTTCTCTTATTGAGTTTTCTTTTTTACGTAAAATACGTGTTTAAGAATAGTAGAATAATTTACATTTTGTGTGTTTGTTAAACTTCATTTACTTGCCTTTTGTGCAGTCAGGTACTAAGAAAATGAATTTTACTGTTCGTGTCATAGAATACAAAGGTTGCCTACTGTAAAGAAAATCTTTAAAAAATTATTGAATTGCGTCTTCGCTACAGGTTTAACATTATTGCGATTCCTATTGGCTTAAAAATGATATCGAAAGGGAACATCTACGAACGTATATACAATTAGGGGAAAAATGATCTTTTTCTACAACGTATAATCAAATCATGTATATGATATATATATATATATAATTTTTATAATTATCTTTCATTGGAATTGTATCATTTAATACGAATTTTTCTTACGCCCGTTGAAACTTGCAACTTTAAACAGGTCAGAGACAACCGTCAGATTGAGACAGCCATTTTCTGAGGATCAGTTCGACTCTTGTAATGATTACTAGGCATTCCAAAATTGAAAAAAGTCCAGTGATTACATTATCATTAAGGTTATAAACTTGACTATTGTATATACAACTAACCATTGACATTCTAAATAAATCACATTATATATAATATACTAACATTGTTACGTCGTTAACGTACTCGAATGTATCAGCGGCAATAGGTTTGTTACAAACGATAACAAACAGTTTGTTGCAAATTAGTATTAAGCAATATCATTTATGTTTTTATTCATTTCTCCCTTTTTTGTCATGTCGCGCGTTATTTGTGCAATTTTTCTTACGAGCTTTATTTATTCGATTCAACTGAATCAAATGAAAATAAAAGGAGCAATATCTAGTACAAAGAGTTGACAGTCATTGAATAGTATACAGGATATCGCGATTAATATGATCTCTAGAAATATCTCCAGTACTTGTAACAATATAGGAAAATACTTCGTTTGAAATTCGAGAAAGTACAGTATAATTTTTTCCTTTTGTTATTCTCTGATATCATAAAAGACAAAAGACAGTTTGTTGAATCGTATAGCCAATCGAGATATCTTGTACATAGTCTGATGCTTCATTTTGTGAATAAATATTTATCATCACGTTGTAGTTTCTCTTAGTGAATTGTTACAAGCAAAATACGATTGTGATACAAAATTTTAAGAGGCAGTAATTATGCGCAAGGAGATGTGTGATAAAAAATACAAATACTTTTTATTAAGCTTCGGAAAGTAGAATAATCGTTGTTTGAAATTTTTATTGTCACAATATTTATAAATTTTTTTGTCTGCAATTGTGATGTACAAATTATGTTATATTATCACGATACAATACACGAGAACATTAATATTTTGCATCGCCCTTCTTTATATGTCGAGCATAAACTGCTGTGCCTATATTATATACAAAATGTATGTTCACTTGTTTATGTATATATATTAATAGTTTTCTATTGAAAGATACTTATTGCGCATATCATGCTGCATATTTTGTGATAATGCATACAGATTTTGTATTTACATAATTATTTGAAAATTCTTCAAAGATATTCATTTCTTAATGGGCATACTTCTTAATTACTATATCGCATGAGATTCATTTACAAGAATATACGAACTTGTATAGTTTGAACACTAATATACATTTATATACTATATCTTATAGTTTATAAAAAATATATATATATATAAAAATACTATACAACGAGGATGAAACAAATACATATTTCATTTACGTAGAAGCATAATTTCTATGTCCTATTATATGTATTCCACGGATAATTAAAATATCTGATTCGAAATACGAGGAAACGTATACTTCAATATTCGATACGATTTTATAAACAAATCATTGAACATTCAGTCTTAATTGAGTTATGTATAATTTTTTCTCATTAGCAATGACACTGAACATGTTTGAATATACTATCAATTACTGGCATGGAAGTGAAAAGAACAGAATAATGTTAATATCTTTATATTGTTAGTGGAATCTATTATACCTCTAAGTCTTTATCTTATTCTGTTGCTGAGATCGCCTAGCCTTTATTCTTGCTTGTAAAGTGAGAAGGAGGCCCGCGAGAACGTCATGATTCGGCAACTTTTTAGCAAAGAGTAGACGTTTCACCGAGTCGTCATAAGTCAGCAATGCTACCATGTTTTGCAACAGAAATCCTTGACAATATTCCAGGAGCTGTGTTGCATTATATACCTAGAACATTTTAATGAAGTTCGGGTTACATAAACGACTTCCTCGTGAAAAAGTAAGACGCAAGGTATATCACGAGTATGAGATATAAGCAATATCGCCATATCTATACAGAATTGATGATATAAAACAAATACATGAGAAAAATATCCCGTCGTTGTAAAAGATATTTAAGAAATATAATTTGCTTAACCGCGCAACAAATATTTGAGAAAACAGATGTACCTTTGCATGAATGTACATGGTGACAATGTTGTCGAGATCGACCATCGAAGAACACTGTGCCTCGCAATATCTAAGCAAGCCATCCAATTGGAAGAAATTTGCTGCCGCCATCAGCTCTAATACATCACTTTGATTGACCTCTAATGTGGCGCATCCGCCATGGTACAAAAATTCCATGACCATCTAAGGAATAAAATAAAATTGTAATTCTTACAAGAGAAACTAATGTCAATCATAAGATTGTTTTCAATCCATTTATACTAAAAGTCTTCATACCTGAAAGATATGGTATCGAATGTCATTAATTTGTACAATGGGTGGATTCCCTTCACACAATTTCGAACTTAACATATTTCTAAATCTTGGAGACGATGTGACCAGAACGATTTTGTGGCCGTAAAAAACTCTGCCTTCTACTCGAAATTGTACATCGCTCAGTTCTGGATTATTTACAAATTTCGGATCGATCCTTGATCCACTTGAAAGTGTGGTGTCTCTAATGGGTTTTATCGGTTCCCATCCAAAACACGTACAGAAGATATCAGCAAGAAGAAGCGTTGTCCCTTCCTTCTATACAAAAAACAAAGATAATAGCAGATTCGTCATAAATTTTTAATTAATATATGTTAAGAATGTATTCGTGATTTAAGGGACGACTTACCTTACTGTACCTAAAGATATTGAATAACAGAGGAAGACATTCTTGAACGAATTGCGTTGAGTAGTCATCTGGACACACTTGAAGGAAATCTTGAAGCAACTGATCTATCACCGAATCCAATCTCATTTCATGAGCAGTTGCAAGACTGTGCATCCAACAGTGTAACGTCCAACCCACTTTTAGTCCACGAAGTTCCATTGTGATGTCTGCGAAACGAATTTACATTGCAAACAGCCTTTCGCGGTGAAAAAGTTTATTGCATTCGGAATAATGCAAATATTAACTTGCATTACCTAAATGGTTACTTTCAGCACTGTGGTACATAGCTTCCTGCAAGGCTTTAGTCTGCACCTTGTTAAAAACAGGCTCTTTACCCTCCCTTCGATTTCCTCTTGCATCAACAGTCTGCTGCTGTGGACTAGAAACTGCGCTTCCTTCGGCAAGTATTTCCTCCAAGGACAATACTTCCTTTTCTCCTCGTTTCGCCGAGAAATTCAGCGGATGAGACAACAACTGGTGAAGGCAACTTCTCTGTCCGTGCGCTGTAGCTACCGATATCGCACTACACACGATACGAAGAGATTAATTATATATTTTTTACCCATGCTACAACATATGGTCAGCCCTGTATTTGACTTGCCTGTAACAGCCACGTTGAGCAGAACCAGAATACGAAAATGAATCTTTGATCAAAGTCGACAAGAATGGTTGCGCGCCATGGGCCAAAAGTAGTGCCACCATTTCATTGTTACCAGAAGCTGTGGCTGCTTGCAATGGTGTGACTGTACATTTGTCTTCGCTGAGTTTAGCACCACCTTCGACTGCAGCACTTCTCTCTAACAATATTCTCGCGATGTTGCAATGTCCCAACAGGGCTGTGTAAGTTAAAGCAGTCCAATGTTGGGTCTCAGCGTTGAATCCAGTTTGATTGCAGTACACGTTACTGGAAGCATTGCTGGAAGACCCTGGCGATCCAGATAATGAATTTGGTGTTTGCATATTTTTTACTGGGGACATCATTGCAGATGGCGTCACTGGGTTTCTGGTATTTGACACGGCCGGTGTTATTGGAATCTTGGAGGGTGTGTTCGCCGATTGACCAGTCGGCGGAGGTGGACTCTCAATGTTCAAATCCGCTCCAGCATCTAGTAAAGCTAGCACAGCTGTTTCATCCCCACTGATACATGCTATCATCAGAGCAGTGAAGCCATTGTCATTCACAGTGTTGATTTTCGTCGAAGGTAAAAGAGGCATAGCTTGGGCGATAAGATCGGTCCGTCCACTGATCAACATCTTAAAGGCCATGTCCATAGTGAGAAGACGCACGTACTCGGAATCATCGATACGTTTCGAACAGACGGCGACTTCTTCGAAGCTGTTAGGAAAACATTTCATAAATAAAAGAAAATCTAATATTACGGTTGGAACAAAATCAAGTGACACTTGAGGCTTTCATTGCTGACCATTCTACAGTTATCACCGTCGAAGTTTTTATGTATTTTTCTTCAAGAATAAATTGTGGTCCGCTAGACCTCAAGATGTCAAATAAATCAGAAAACATACACGTGTACACTCAGGTGTAATAGTGCTCTAGAAGCCTTGAATATCTTAAAGATACGATATAAATGCTAGTATGTTTTACCATATCGGTCTAACGGGGCAGTCTACGCCGGGCAACAACAATCTGGCAGCTTGATTAATATCGTCTTGATCTACAACGAGTCCGTGCCTATGTTCTGCATGAGCAGTCGCGACACGAAGCCATTCAACCAGTGGAGGAAGAACAACGTACGCTCGCTCGTACGCGAGTTCTTGTATGCCGGAACCCCGTTCTCCGTGCTCCAGCTACAGAAATATTATTACTTTGACGAGTTATAATAAAAAAAAAAAACCCGATGGTATTTATCCATACAATCAATTGTCTAGTGATCAAACCTGTGAACACCTCATATAATAGAACAAGGCGTTCAGTGCCTTGCCGGTTAGAGGAATGGGCGAACGTCCCGCTTGGGCTACTTTCGAGATTAGATCTATTAATTCCGACATTGATCCTACGCAGGTGGTTAGCAGTGATGGTTCCAACGCAGAGCCTGCTGCGTCTCTTCCACTGCGGGACGACGACGACGACGAGTTCAAGGAACTTACGCTGGCCCAACGAGGCATCGCCAGAGCACCTAGATATACATATTTGGAACTTGTGTTACTCCAGGAAGCCTGTATTCTTATCGTACTTAACAGTTACGGTTAAACATCAGAATCTTTCGGAACACTTTTTTTTTTTCTAATTGCAAGTTATTCGAGAGTTGTTGCTTGATATTGTACAAAGAAGAAATTTTGTCAAGAAGAAGTACTTGGAGTATCTTATAGAAGTATTTATAGAATACTTGATGGAAAATAATTCTACCTGATGCTGTTCGACCAGCATTAAGATGCGCGTACGGCTGAAGAAGACCCCATAAATCACCGCTGTTTGCTATAGCATGCTCCAACATGGTTGCCGTTAAGGTTGTGTGCGGATCAGTTGGTATGGATTGCAACAGTATTTCTTCAAGAAGATTTTCAATCCCCGCGGTCAAATATATCGCCGCGTACTCGTGTATCATTCTTCCTAATCGTACGTCGGACATCCAGCGGAGAAATCGTCCCACTGGTAATTGCAGTCCCGATCGGGACGCCTTAGATTGCTTCAATTGGTCACCGGAGACGGCGAACATTGCAGCGGCTCGTAAGCAGGCCTATTAAAAGAAGAAATTTAAGAAATACGAACCAGGTGACTGGTGGCTATCACCTTCATTTCACGACTTCAACAGAAACAGTGTTTTCAACTTGATTCGTGCTCCACAATTACAAATTGCACGTTTTTAAAATTCTGTAGTGTATACAATATATCTGTATAATCCTACTGATTAGGATCAATGCTTAATTTTTCTTAATTCATCTTTCCTATAAATATAGGAAGTGTATAAAAGTAGTGAACAGTATATATTGTTACCTGCTCAGTATACTTCACTACACGCAAGACATTAAAAAGACATAGATATAAGACAATATTAATAGTATACATAAAACAAACGGATGGTTGCTAGCGTACAGTGTTATTATAGTAACTGACTCTAAAGTTAGGTGTCATTAGATTCAGACTATTGTATTAACAATGGTCACAGGTTATGATATAACAGTATATAACTAGAACCTGTAAACTCGTACTAATTCGATTGGTAACATTCCATCGGTATTGCGTTATTATGCATTGTATTAATTTCTAACGATCTTCACCACGTACCTTGGTGCAAGAATCAGCCAAGGCGGGGCAAAGCACAATCTTAAACGCGCTGTAAACCTCGTGTTTGCTGCAAAGGCCAACAGGCTTGGCCAGTCGCTGCGTTTCACGACCAATTCTGACCAAGGCCCGTTGCAACAGATACGACAAACGCGGTATAGTCTCCATAGAGACTTGCTCCATGTGCTCCCTGGTACGGCCGTTCTGCAACACTCTCAGTACATCGTGATGCGTCCAGGGCAACTGTTGCAGCTCCACCAGCCGATTGTGCGAGTCCACCCAGACAAATTCATCGGCGCTGGTCACGTTGGTGTTGATAGTCTCCAGGCTGGAATGCCGCATCAGCCTCCTTACGGCCGGCTCCGAGCTCTCGGAGCCGCTCAAGGAGGAGTAAGTGGACGATGACTTATGGGAACGCATCGTGAGCTGCTGGATCGCCAGTTTGATGTCTTCTAAACCGGATCCTGACCACGGCACCTGCAGCTACCGCCGAAATTTTTACGTTTGAGCAGAATGAAAAATCAGGAATAATTTAGAAATAACAGTGAATTATTCGATACAGGTGGTCTTCGTTCAGATCACTGAACAAACGAACTCCAGAAAACACAACTTATCCTTTTCAACTGAATTCGAATAACGTTAAAGTAATATTTGGAAATGTTTTTCTATCAACGATACTTTAATACTGTTTAAGAGGTTGGTAATATACGAGAGTGATAAAATTACCAGAATCATATACAGCAACTGTATCTTCTACAAGTACAGTTAATGTGATAATTCAGGTTGAACCACCATTCCTACAACTGTTGTTATTCAAGGACTGTTTACAATATAATTACACGTTATTCATTACGTGTTAACAATAAATAGAGGAGTTATTGTTTAAAAGACAGAGGCTTAATTGCTTGGCAAAAAGGTGCCACGTTAAAACTCTGAAATTTATTGTAGAATAGTTCTCGAAGATACCGTTAAGCTTATTAATTTTCCTGATACGGTCAGAAGATGAAATATTATTCTCACGGTTAATGGGTGGAAAATATGTATTTAAAAAATAAAAAAAAAACACCTTGGCAGGTGTGGCCCTGTGTCTGTTACGGTTTTGTCCGGATCTACTTCGGCCATTTCTCTGGGTGACCGAGGCCGACAAACGATCGTCCTCGGGCACAGAGTTCAATTGCTGAGGACTGTGCGACCTGTGGTGACGATGGGGCGGCGAGCTGCTGCTCGTGTGACCGCCTGTGTCCGACATGCTCGCGTGTCCGGACGATCGATTCTCATCCGACGAGCTGTTACCGGTGCATTCTGGTCGCCTCTGCAACAAAGAAAGTTACCGTTTCTCCGTTTTGCAACAACCGAAACATAAATTTCACCTAAGCAACTGAAGTGGACTTTCGATCCTAGTCCCTGATAACAAGTTGTGTACAAATTCCGAGCAAATTACCAGCAAATAATGACAAAAGTTTTCTAAAAAACCATAGCCATTTGTTTTCGCATTTGGCTTGGATTTTGCAGTCTTGCTACACGACACTGCGTCAAATTGGGGGCAAAAAGGGAACAGAGTCTGCGCGAGCCAATTTGTTGCCAATGTTTATGGAAAATCTTGCATAAACCTGTAGCCATAATTTTATAACAAGTATTGGACAAAATTTAGTTTTGCAGGTTTGACTTGGGTGTTTACTTGAAACGGTTTCACGTGTGTTTTACGTTGGGGTCATACATTTGGGAATTGTTAAACGGGATTCGGTTATACCTGAAGCGCTCTGATCTCGTGCAGGCTGAGATGATGGTGTTGAGAGTGATGGGGGTGTTGAGGGGTTGGCGTCGGAGCCACGCTGTCCGTGTCCCGTTCGGCCACCATGTGCACCGTATTGTGGACGCCATTTTTCGGCGAACCCTCCGTGAAGTCTTTCGTGTACGGGGGACAATAGAGATCGCGGCCATTGCTACCCCCTGGCCTGGAAACCGAACAATGTACCACAATTAACGTGTTCTTTTTTCACTGGTCTAAAAGAAACATTTTTTTTATGAATCCACCCATTGCACTCCGAGACTCTTTCATTCTAAGTGACTATAGGTGACTGTAAGATCGAGTAAGAATCGAATAACTTGTGTTTTCCTACTGAAGATTTTTATTCCGTTTAATTTGAATTGAATCAATAAGACGTCGATTTTAGGGTGAGTGCAAAGTGGAGCGCAAAGGGTGAAGTGTATAAAAAAAAAAAAAAAGAATCGTATCCCCCTCATGTGAAACAGGGAACGACTAGAGCAGAGAATTTATCCGAAAATTTTGTTAATCGTATATAAAATCCATGAGGTTCTGAAAAGTGGTATAGTTCGATCGTGCGTGTAAACAGAAATGATGTCAACATTTTATTCGTCCGCCGGCGAAAATGTCAAACGTAAGAACTGATACACAATTTTGATAACTGGTCCGGGACGGTCGGTTTCACGTTAATTGCCTGCCAAATAATTCCACCGCCGACTCGCTTTCGATTCTTCTTTTTGACCGTCGCCTCGTCTCGTGAAAGCGAGCACATAATAAGAATCCGTTCCCAAGGCGATCCCGTGTATGTATGCATTCCGTTAGAACGCCGTCACGGAGGAAAGTTATGCCTGGGCAGGCGGTGGACTCGTAATCCATCGGGTGGAGGAGTGGGGGGCAAGGGGGGCGCAACAAAAAATTTAATCCCTTCATCGGAGATGCCAGAGATAAATATAGGGTTGTGGACGATTTGTACGAAATATGATAATTCACGCGAGCCCGATGCTTCGACGCGATACACACACCGGGGGCATCGTTCTTCGTCTGTTTTGTATTCTCTTTGCTCGGGCCCCTGGAAGATAACCTTCCTTTTTTTTTTATTGTTTTTGGAAAAGTTAACGTTCCCGTGGCCGGGTCTGCGGCGACCCGTCGATCTTAACAATATAATTTGTAATTATATTGTTCATTTAAGATATTTGTAAAGCAATTTGACATTGACAATTTAAAAACAATGGTAAACAATAGTATAATTGTTATCCATCAAGTATAAAGCTGAGTTGTGCCTAGAATACTTGGAAGCAAATCATTCTTAACCGAATTTCGTAGTGAAAATTTCCTTAATTCGATATTAGCTTGGACCATGTTTCATTCAAGGAATAATAATGCAAGTTTTCATCGAATAAGGGTTGAAAGCGACAATGTAGATGTAAATAGAGGGGTGGAATAGTTTGAACACGCGAAGAATAAACCCAACCTATTTTTGAAGGTTCTAATGAAATAAATACTTCTCCCCGCTTTCTTAAATGGAAACATCTGTGCATACCCTTTTTACAGCGAGAGTGAATCATCAGTCTCTTACTAATCCAGTCTCCCATCGCTACAAACATCTGTCCTCGCTGTCTATGAGACTTTTTCGAGATACATTAGTAGTCTTTGAATTATCCTTTCGTTCGTAAATATTTAGACCAGTTGTCAAATACGAGATAGATGTATGTATGAGGCACTACCGAAATTGTTGAAGGTTTCTAAGTAATATACATCGTTTGGGGGGGAGGGTGGGGGTGTTAAAGCTTGACGGACAAAATTTCCGTTAACGTAAAGTAATAAAAGTGGCCCAAAATATTAGCTGGTACCGGTAATTCACAATTTTCTTTAATTATTCCCATGCTTATGAAAGTGACGTAAGTCGTGTACTTTCTTTTTTTTAAATTATCTCATGATATTGGAATAAAAATCGATGTAATAGGAAATAAAAAAGTTCAATTTTTGTTGGTTATTTAACTTACACCAATTTCATAATCCCCGGTACAATTAGAAAGTTAACCAATAATGATCTACTTATCAGTTGTCTACATGGGCGTAGTCAAGGTTATCAGTCGAGGGGTGGGAGATTTATCTTGAGGTAAACTTTATAATATTATTTTCCTCCTCTAAGGGGGGCACAAAATCCAATGTTTTCCTCTCTAGGGTAAAGAAAATGGCACTTTCTTCCCTCTAGGCCGGGTTGTTACTATCCCTCTCTGGCTACGCCCATGCACCTAATATACAATTTGTCTTAGAATCAACTGTTCCAAGTCCCAATACGCATGAACGTGTACACTCGCCTAACCAAGAGTTTTCATTATTCACGCTTCAGAGATCGATTCAGGAACACCGTTGTTTGTACGTTTAATTTAGAAACCGCGATTTCTACCGTACGATTTACAATTCGCCGTTTTCTAACGCGCGAAAACCACCGACCGATCAAGTAAAACTCTCCCTTGTATCTAACAACGAAATCTCCATCGAGCCCGTGTTTTTCTAACGTATCGTGCACGTTACAAAGCACAATTTAGAAATTGCTTCGCGGCCGTGTTGTCCGAGACACGTCGAAATTCGCCTAATGTATCGCTTTCCAAACAAGGGGCGAACAACGATCGTGGCGATCGGTGGGTATATCGCGGCGAAAAATCGCTCCTGGGGGGCCCCGACGGTTTCTCCCGTATCCTTTAATTTTCCAGAACCTGTGCCCCCCCCCCCCATTACATAACACACTTGAGGGACTGGCGTGCAAATTAACAGTAGGCGTACGAAATGTAATGAGATTCAGGTGATCGATAACACGTCCGGGGTAGGGGAAGGCGATCGTGATCCACGTGTGTGCCGCCGACCCCGTGGATCTTGATCGGAGGCCCCCTTTGTTTTCCGGCGCGCGCGCGCGAGTTTTGTTGCCTTTCGTTTTTCTTCGAGTAAATTTCGATGAGATGGAGATGATCGTGATTTGGACCTCGAGATCGATTCAGTGTGGGCTAAAGGGTCAACTGGATATCTATAAATTATCGAATTATATCTAGCTTTGCAGGTTTAGTGAATTATTTGTAACTTTTACTGAGCATTGTATTGCAAGCTAGAAATGTTGGGGTTACTTAAATGGCAATTATGCTGTATTTGGAACTGTATGAAAGTGATCCAGGTGGGCCTCGTTTGTTCCTTCGGTCCATTGGAAGACTTTCAAAGACTTTGGTTGGTTGTTGAACTCTAGTAAACGATTTTTAAGGGTAGTTCGATCCAATGGAGGTTCTTAAAGGACCTCGTTGGTCCTATGGGGACTTACTAAAGACCCTTGAAGAGTCTCGTTGGTTCTATGAAGACTACTGAAAACCCTTGAAAGGACTTGTTGGTCCTGTGAGTTCTACTGAATATCCTCGAGAACTACTTGAATACCTCCAAGGATGATTTTGAAAAGTGTACCTCATCTACAATTGCATTCGATGCATTTGAGAAGTTAATTGTACTTTTTTTCTTAGAGTCGTAGTTTCACACTATTCCCCCTAGGCTGAAGCATTTTACATGGTCCCATACTTTCAGCTAGCCTACATTTAGACCAGGCGTCGGCAACCTATGACCCGCTGGGTCAATGTTAATCTATTATTTATATTTTGCTCAAAGTGTTTCATGTTTACATTTTATAATTTATATTTATATATTACACTTCATTTGCGGAACTCAAGCGGGTCATTTGAAATTATATAATGGGTCATGGATGGCCGACACCTGATTTAGACCCTATCTTCTATTTCGACCATCTCGTCTAATAATGGGAAATTCTAACCTAATCAACTCAAATTATTTGTTGGATGACCAATCCAGGTATCTAATGTCTTCGATTCAACCTATATATAACCAAGAAAAAATATGAATATTTCGAAACAGTAGTGCCAAAAATCGCAACTAACCCATCCGACCGTATCGGTACACTTACGGTAATATCGGTGGTTTAACAACGTTCCACAATATCGACACGGAAAAACGGAGTTTCGCGCTCAACGGAACCGTTCTGCCCGAACTATTCCGAACTATTTCGATACCGATCTCCTATGCCACTCTAATTATTTTCCAAGCCGTCTAGCGTACTCGTGGCCGATCCCAAAGCAAGACCGGTCACGCTGGTCGCGAAAATCCGCACGGAGAGTTCTCCGTTCCCCGCGCTACCGTAAGAATCCAGCGAGTCCCCGGTGGCTAACGCTCATTTTTCATCGACACACGGCTAACCTACACACACACATGAATACAGCGGCGTGGATTTACCCCCTCAGGCGCCATTGCTGTACAAAGCTCCAGTCCGCCTTGAACCCGGTGTTGTCCCCCGGCAAGGACCAATAGTCCTCGACCTGGCTCTCGTCCTCCTCGATCCTCAGCACGTCTTCCCTACTCGGGCTGACGTTCACCACGATTTCGTGCGTGACCTTCGGATCCTCGTTCTCCACAAGACTGACCGTCGAGCGTTGCCTTTCGACGGGACTGGCGAAACGTTTCTCGTCCTCCAGGCAATCTGGATCGTCCTCCTGGTCCCTCCTCGAGTCGAACACACCGGAATCCTCCTTGGTCTGCGTGATATCTTTCGGACATAATTTGTTCTCCTTCTGACGTTGATTCGAGTCACCGAAGTAAATCACCGTCTTATGAGCGACGTCTTTGTCCGGTCGCCGTGGCCCATTACCGACCACCTGTGTCATCGACTTCTTCGTTTCCGGCCCGCGACTCTTCTCCTCCAACGTCGTTCTGTCCTCGTAGCCTGTGAAGCTAGGATCATCCGTCTCCAGCCATTCTTTCGATGGGGTTCTGTTGCTGAACGGTAAACCCCTGCGAAGAATGAAATTAACACCGCCACGACGGGACTGCGGGCTTCCCAGGCTTGCGGCCATCATCTGGCAGTCTGTTAGCTCACGACACAAGATGCAGGAGCAGTCGTCGATGCATGATCCTCGATCGATCGACGGCATGTCATCCGGCGACGATCATGTTTTTATCTGACCTGTGGTTGTTTCCCAGGAATGAGTTTGGTGATTCACTGAACAATCGCGACCGGAAAAACCAGAGTCAGACGTTTCGTTGAACTGTATCTGATGGTGCTTCCGCTGAGTACTCGCCTTTATCTTCGATTCAGGGAATTTTTTGGTTCTTGTTAACCAGGAAGGCGTGACTCTTTTGTTGATTTCAGAGTATTAACAGTTTCATAGAGCAAGACACTCTGAAGTAGTGCTGAGTATTCTTAGGTACACAGTTTTTTCCAATAATTTTAATATGTCATCAGTGGTATTCTCTAATTTTTCTTCCCCAAATCACGAAACGAAATTTGAAAACATCTCACGACCAATACTCGCGATTCAATAATCTCGCAAACAGTTCAGTACTCTCGAAAGTAGTTGTAACTTTCATAAATTTCCAAACTCCCGGACTTTTACATCCTCGACTGTTCTCAATCTTCACGTCGATACTCCACTTATTCACAGTTTCATCGCGATCGAACCGACACACCACCTCGAGTCACGCGTGTAGAAATTATAGATCGTTCTAGCTGTTCGGATCGCGTTTTCGCCGTGCTCGCAGCGGGCACGCGACTGAAACAACGTCTCCCAGGCCCGACGGTGATCCGTGGATCAGCAGGTGAAACGTGCACTTCCTCCGCAGACCGCAAGCAAGCGTCGACGAATAGAAGACCGCTCCAGTATCACTTTCCTTTCGTTGCCTCTCTTTTTCCTTCCCCCGCTAGCCGGGCGTCGTTGCCCCGTATCGCGAAAACGGCTTATCGTCGCGAGGGCGATATATACGTCGCGTGAGAATCCACCTTTTTTTTATCTCCTTCCGCCCGACGGTCCCACCTGTCTTCCTTGAATGTCACCGTGCAATCGCCACTGAACACGTAACAAATCGAAGAAAGTTGTTTTTGAGACTTTGGTTAGAATCAGAGACCACTTATATCTTCTTTTTTAAATACAGTTGCACTCGATTTCTAGGACAATTTCGGAAGCAATTCGATTCGGATAATAGAATGTTTCACGCTAATTCTACCTTCCAATAGTGTTTATCTGTTTAGATCGTAAAGATTGGACAGTCAAATTACTGACATGGATTCATCCAGTTTGGCCCTTTATGGTTTCGACGTATTTTAACGAAATGATGATGAATTGGTCTTTATTAATATATTAACACTTTATAATATCAGAGATATGGATGATTAAAAGTAATAGCAAATCAATTTCTGAACAACAAGAAACATATTTTCAAGTTCGAAGAATATTTGATATTCCATTACGCATTGGTACCCCTAATCCAAGCTTGTATAGGTCTCCGTATACTCGTAGCACGGAGTTCGAGTACGCACCATTTTCAGAACCACGGAAATATAACGTGTTCCCTGTAACGACCGCGAGAACCGCGCGAAATAATTCGTGCATTCAATTCGCACACGGGTTCCAAAGATAGAACACGGGGGAGGGCAATTACGCGCGCTCGCGGAGGCGAGTTTGCGCGCGACTTTCACCGTTCCGGTCTGCGCAAAATTGATTCCAAAACAAGTATCTCCGATTTCTGCCAACGTCCTCCACCGTCACCGCGTCGAATCGACGCTCGATAACATCCTCCACAAACACAAACACGATTTGTACAATCCCATACGGAACACTTCACGAAACATGAAAACAATGCCTTAAGGAATTCCCGTTCCATGCATACCGGTCATTCGACACGAACTACGAGTTTGGAAGCCCACAACTTTCACACGTTTACTCGACCAAAAGTGGTTCCACAAAACAACGAGTGATCAAGGGATGTATAGTATTTTATTCTCGTCTTTATCAGAGCAGAACGGCGAAAAGGAATAACAACAAGGCGCAGCGAGAAATCGCGAAATCAGAGTCCTCTCCTCAGTGTCGCGAAGATGTAATGCCGTGCGTCACCCTGACGTTGTTCTACTTTGAATTTCGCGTACATGCGGGTATCACACGCACTTCTAGCCGCGTCACGTAAGATCGAGTTAAGTGGTGGCTGCCACTCCGTGGACTGTTATGGCCGTTTTCACCGAACGTGGAGAGGAAAGCCGGCCAGGAAACGGGGAGTGCAAATGTGCGCCTTTAGCAGCCCCACCAGTGCGACCGCGTTATTCGGGGGAGGAACTTCCGGCGACCCATCCTACTTCCTACGGCCGTGTGCTCGAATCCTATCGTCGTCGCCCTAACCACGGCTCCGTGACGATTCTCGGACACTGTTTCGTTCTTCGTTTTTCTTCCTCGATCGTTTCAACAGAGATTTCCCTTTCTATGCAAACCCGCTCCGGTACGTTTTTATCTTGATCGAAGGGCGTGAACCGCTAACAGGGGGATTGGGAAATACGCGTTGGCCGGACGAGGTTATCAACCCACTGGGTGCCCCCCTCCCCGAGTTACTGTAATAAATTCTGTCGTGTTGCGGTCGTTTTGACCGAACTTCGTCCTTAGATATCCGTGATAACTACGAATATAACTAATTTCGTACGAATTGTAAATACAACAGGGGCCTTTGTGGTTATAGCAGGTATAATGTGTGTACGCGCGATATTACCGACAGGGTGTCAATTATCGACTATAAGAAGGTTGGGTTTTGAACGGTATCACAGTCTCGTCTGTACGACACAGAGAGTGTGCATGTATGGTGTGGTGTGCGACGAATGGATGCTGGAAACTATTGTATTGTTTGGTTTTCATGCAATTACAATTGGAAGCGTGTATACCTTCATTTTCAACCACGGACCCACAGTGCCTCGATAGACGAATTGTTGTGCGTGTAGTTAATTATGTGTATTCCACGGAACAGTGATTCTTAACCTAAAAGTCAACTAACAACTTTATCACTTTCCTATAGTGTATAAAATTCGGTAACATTTACGTTTCACGTACTAAAGCTGTATGATTTCAATCCGCAAATTTCCAAATTAATTGTTACTAAAAAACATCTATTGATACATTCTATCACCGGTGAATACACATCTACGGAAAGTTTTCTCCGGGAATGTCGCTACGTGACGCCTGACTATCCAAGTAGGAACACACCGGTGTTATTGTAAAGTCGCTCGGACAAGAATAATGACGCGTTAACGAGCCTATCGCGAAGGTACGGAAAAAAACAATTTGTACATACACACAGGGGGGGGGGGGCAGGAAAAAGAGGGAAAGAAAGCAAGCGGTGTCACTGTTTTCCGGTACACCTTCCACAAAGGCGAAGAAGATTCTCATGGCGTTTTCTATCCGTAATTAACGTCGATGGCGCAGGGTGCACAATGCGGAAGGCAGACACAATTAACTAGGCCAGGAGCCGTTCCTAACGCTGCCATTAAAAACGGTCGTTCGGCTAAAACACACACACACACACGTATATACACACATACACTGAAGGCGATAAATCCCGCGCGCGCCCCGATACAAATGATACCCGGGAGGGACCGTTCTAATTGATCACGAACGAACCGACCAACGTACTTTTCATTGAAACCAACACCGTGTATTGATAAATTCGCGCGAAAGTCATAGATAATTTTTGCTCCATAGACAAACCGGTCGTGGCCATATTTGTTTCTTTTTCGTCTCCTATTTTTCCATGCCTCTCGAGGCGTTGCGTTCGGTACGCGGGACACAAACGGCCGCCTAACATTATGATTATCGTTTGTTAATGGTGATTTTATGTCCGGAGATTGTGTTCACGATGCTGGCCTTCAATTACAGGTACATATTTCAATTTTCACGACAACTTCTTCGTGGTTTTTTTCTTTTGTTTCTCAACACTTCGACGGGGATTTATACGGAGTCCGGCACGATGTTACGGTGTATCAGGATATGTTTTAATTGATTTATACATCGTGTGTTGTGATTCATCGGGGCCGAAGTTAAAACGATCCGAGGATATCGGAACGTGTTCGCCGCGGAGGAAGTCTCTTGGTTCGCGGTGACGTTCAGACCGCAGGAATTGATACTTACTAATTACTATAATAGATTTCGGTCATTTTTTTACGGAATAACGAGCGATTTGTGTCTACGGAAGGTATTGTCGAGTTTATCGAGTGGTTTATTGCATCGTAATTACTTGGAACTATCTGTTTTTTTATTGTTGATTAATCACTCGTTACTGGGTCGTTTATATATTTTTCTAGGTCAACCTTTTTAGGTTAAAGTGAGTCGCAGGTCCAGTGAATCAGTGATTATGTGTTCGAACTATTATTACACAAAATATAAGTGTCTTAGACAGTGAATGACTCGACGATTTAATAACTTAATGATTCAGTGGTTTGTCGACTCAACGTTTAAATGTTCAGTGACCTTATGATTCAACAGTTAATGCTCGAACGATTCGACGACGCAACGCCTGGCAATCAATGGTTCGGTTACGCAACGATCTCGACGATTAAACAATTCAACTATATCACTAAACAATGACTCAAACATGGAATTTACATATATATAATAATAACAATATATAATGGTCTTTATAAGTCCTATGAAAATTTGATGATTCAGTATAACGTCTTTTCTCGCGTGTAAAGCATAACACTGCGATTAATAATAATTGTATCACTTCATTCCGAGCAATTTACCTCTTTCCGGTCCCCCAACAACGCGACCATTCTCCTCCATCTGCCACGCAACTAATTAACGGCTAATTAAATTTATCCCGACTCCGGGCAAACGATCGTTACCCTGAATTCTCGTCACGGATAGGGACAGACGGACGCTTGTCTCTTGGCCTCTGCTTGGGCCGATCCCACATACCGAGAAAAAGGACGAGCATCGAACGGAAGCGTTTAATCTATAACATAACACGCGCGCCTCTCTTGCGGAGGGAACGGTTTTGCAAGGAAGAGTTCAAGGCGCGCATTGTCCGTGCTCCGTCTGCCGAGACTCCGGTGTCAAGGGCGAGACAGCTCCTCCTGCCAGCCGGGATATTAAATTAATTACCGAACTGTGTCCCCCTCTGG